GCTCACCATGAGCATGATGACAGCCACAACCTCCCACCTCCGCCCCTCCAGCTGCCCTCTAAGACTGAACTCAACTGGGTATCTGGAATCCCAACCTTTTCCAAGACAGGAAATGGATAGCACACAGGGAAGAGAAGACATAAGGTAAACTAAGGCATGTTCCAACCACACATTGCAGTCTGCAGGCCTCAGCCACGCATGAGGATGCATGTCTGTGTTCTTAGTCCTAGCCTGACCCTGGGAACACATGCCTTCTCCCTTCGCGGGAGGTGGGAGGTCAAGACTGCATGGGAAACCCACTATGAAGCAGGACAGTCTCCAGTTCATGAACCAAGGTGTCTGGTGTGGATCTGTGTTGTCAGAGATGATGAATGTCCTAGGCCCTAGGTATCGCAAACACAGAATAGAGCAGGACATACAGAGATAGACATGAAAGCATAGATTTATTAGTCAGGATCAGCTCCTCAGGGTAGAATCCACTGGTGAAAAGAGCTCACAGACCAAAGGAACCAAGTCAGAGCCTGCATGAGGTCTTCGCAGGGAAGGAGCAGCTCTTCAATTTACTCCAACTGGGAACAATCCTCCTGCTTTCTGTGAAGGGGGAGTTTTGCCCCTCTATGGACTTTTGAGGAACTGTTATGGTGCCAAAGTCCATGGGAGCCAACAACACCACAATGCAAATGAGATTGTAACCAATTATAATTGAGTTGGGGGTCAATTCCAGGGTCTTTAGGTTATTCTATAGTCCGTGCATCCTCAAACATGGCTTAATCAATAGAGGTGGTGAGTCCTCTCTGTGATTTTGGAGAGCCAGCTTCCTCTTTTGTCTTCTGGCCTGCAGGCCTTCTTCTAGGAATTTTTCCTCTCTTCCTCCTGGCTCACCTGTGGGCCCCACTTCCTATGTTCTCCCTCCAAGGGTTGTTAGGACCAAGCCTCTCAGGTGAGCAGCAGTGCCTGGGAGCTCAGGGAAGGTGGAAGTCAAGAGCCAGGTGCCAAGGTCTTTCCCAAGAGGAGTGTCCCCCTTGGATAGCTGGGGAGGCAGGGTTTGGTGGCACCCCTAAAGCTTTCGGTTGTGGGAGAAGCAGTGTGAATCCCTGAGAGTCCTTATCTCCCAGGGTTACACAATAATTCCACTTCCACTTCTAGTCATTCAGACCCCATGTTCTGCCTTTCTGAGAACAAGGGTCACCCTCAGTAGCTCATTCCAGCCTTTCTGGATCTGTCCTCTGCAGAGCAACCCTATCCTATGAAGGAAACTAGGAAGGCATGGCCACTTCTTCCATTTCCCAAACACACCCTTCATCCATCACAAGCACATATGTGTTGGAGGAAAGTTTGTAAACATGAGAAAGGATCCAGAGCAGACAAAAGGCCGTGTGTGTCCAGATGTCTTTGGAGTCATCCAGAGGCTGTGGCCTCCCAACTCATTGTATCCCAGGCTGCCAACAGCACCCCTCTACATCAGGGGTTGGCACGCGTGTTCACATTTGTATCCCTGGACTCTCACAGGCCTTTCTCACTGGCAGACTCACAGGGTCCAAGGGGAAAGATCTCTGGGAAGGGGGCTTGGTGGCTGACCAGGTCAACACAGGTAACTGAGGGACTCAGCACATGAAGTTCACCTACTCTCTAACTCCATCACCTCTCCTGGGTCCCCACAGGTCCTCCTCAGGGTTGCCCCCACCACTGGGGCTCAGCTCCAAGAGTGAGGTAAGATGTTGTCCTCCTATGTGTCTGCACAGCCCCAACTGGTCATGGGCAAGACCAGATGCAGCCTTTAGCTCTCAGCCCCTTAAGCCCTGAACCGCTGAACCTTCTTCTTGGTGTGGGTTTGGACATGAGATCATCCACTGGCAAATGGAACTCCTGAGTCTTTACCCACTGTGCCACAGTTCAATGGGGAAACCAGGTGAATTCAGTTGTCTATACTTGTCTAAATTGTGTGTCTGTGATGTCCTCAACAATTCATGCAAGTTTAAACACTGAAAGTGCTGCCACCATTATGATGAAGTGGAAAATGACATGAGGCTTGTTGAGGGTACAAGGTGGCAAATGTTGAGTGTGAGGGTTACACTTCCTGACCCTCAGCAGCTTCATTATGTGCTCAATTGCTGAGATTAAAGAGTAAAGAACTGAAGAACATATAGTGCAAAGGAGCATGTTAAAGGCTGCCTTCTGGATAAAAGTTAGAGGGGATTCCAGCACTCCTCTCCCAAATTGCCATCAGGTCTCTTTCACTGGGGAACTGATGGTTTCTCCACCTTATGGCCTCCAGAAGGATTCCCTTCTTCAGCCACAGGCATTCATTCTAAAACCCCTAGTGGATGCCTGAAACTTTAGATAGTAAGCTCTGTCTATACCATCTTCCCTGTACATACGTACTTCTGATAAAAGTTTAATTTATAAATTAGGCACAGGAAGAGATCAGCAACAATAAATACTAATAAAATAGAGCAACTATAAAATAAACTGCAATAAAAGTTATGGGAGGATGGTCCCTCTCTCCCAAAATGTTTTATTGCTCTGTCCTCTCCCTTCTTCTTATGATGTGAGATGATTCTTAAGTGACACCAAGACCAGGCAGGAAGGACAGTAGCCAGGGGTCCATCAGGACAGGTGAGCTCTAGGGATCTCAGAAAAGTCTGGGGAACCCTGTCACATTGGGTAGGGACAGCAGCCAGCAGCCCCCACAATACAGGGCATGGCTTCAGATCCCAAAGGTCTCAGGACAGAGCACACTGTCTTAAGAACTTTGTGTGTGTGTGATTTTAAGAAACTAATAGAAAATTTAAGATTCTCCCAAATCATAAGTTGCCTACTACAAAATATTCAATGTCGATTGATCTTTTTCTCCTGTAATTGATGTTTTTCCCTAAATATCATGGTCAGAGTTCTTTCAAATGTGTCCACACTGAAAGTCCACCCTGTGCTCCACACATGTTATCTGTTATGGTTTATATCTAGGTGTCCCTCAAGAATCTCATGCACACACAGGCAGATGAGTGGATGATAGGGCTTATATTCCGCCTGCTGTTAGGAGGCAGGGTCTGGTCAGAAGGATCCAGTCACTCTGGGCATAGCCTAAAGGGGTTCATCTTCCTCCCCAGCTCCTCCACTGGCTGCCATGAGACAAGCACCTTTACTCCACCAGACCTTCTGCCATGCTGTCCTTCCTTGAAGCCAGTAACTATAGCTTAAAAACATGAACCAAAATAAGCCTCTCCTCGTTTAAGTTGTAGGTGTCCGGTACTGTGTCTCAGTGATGAAAAAGTGACAATGACATCATCTCCTCTGCTCTCAGAAGAAGTCCCAGAAGGCTGATCAGCTTCTCAAGGCCAGCACAGGTTATGAGGAAGAGGTAAGTTCCAAACTCAAGACCCTCTTCTTCTTCTTCTTCTTAAAACTTGCAGGCACACAGCCACCAGGTCCCCAGGTTTCTGGGAGGCAGGCAGGTCAGGCAAAAAGTGAACCTGCATCAACTCCAGTGAGAGTGTTTATTCCAGGAATTTGTGCCAGGAGAAGATGAGTAGGTAACACACAGCCTCCTTCCTTGACCCCATTCATCCTAAAATCCCCAGAAGTTCAGAAGCCTCCACTCAAAGCCATAAAAGGAATTCTCAATTCTGAGTGCCAAACCACATATACACTTAAATGCCGCTAGTCTGTTCACTGCTGGGCAAAAATAAAACAAAAATCTAAAAATCTAAAAAACTGCTTCCACATCCCAGAAGAAATTAGAGTCACTCAGAAGTCTTAATTGTGTACTTCTGGAAAACGGTTTCCACATTTTTGTTACAATATTATGCATATAGCTCCAACCATGGCCACTGTCGTGGGACCTAGAGTTCTAGCATGTTTGCTGTAGGGGGAAGAACCAGCTAGCAAACTGAGACATTTGTCTTGGCTCTGTCACAGATTATTGGATATTCCCAGCTCGTCCCTTGGTGTTCCTGTGGCCTCCATTTCTGCCATGGTGAACAACAGCTGGACCAAAGTCTGGGTCTCCACAGCTTCCTTATAATGGCAGCACAGCAATGAGAATTCTCACTGGGCGAGGAGAGAAGATCTGAGACTCTGGATACCCCAGGACTCTCGGGTCTGTGGTCTCCCTTCCTGAGGTTTTAGCTTTTAAATTCTTTAGATTAGTTTAGTTTAAAAACCTTTAGTTAACTGGGACATTGTATCACTCACATCAGCACAGGAAGAAAAGTCTACAAGATATTCTGAAGGAGAGACCACACGCCTATAACTTTTGTTATCGTACACTGTTACAACTGTTCTATTATTATTTATTGTTGCTAATCTCTTCCTGCACCTGATTTATACATTAAATTTTATCATAAGAAAACATGGTATCTATCTGGTCTGGTATTATCCAGTTTCAGGACTCCATAAAGGAGATGTCTTGAACTCTGCCACCTGCAAATAGTGAGGGACACTGCATCTGAGGGGACTTGTAACTCATCTGTGACATACCAGCCAGGGAGCTCTGGGACAGATAACCATTAGAATACCACTAAAAATCCAGGCTGTGTTACTACCCAAGTAATTTTTAGATTCCATATGACTCACTTGCCCAACTTGCTTATTACTGGTCCTCTGTGTCAAATCCTGTAAAATTCTGAGATTATATCTTATAAAAACAAAACAAAAGCAGTTTAGTGCAGAGTCCTTATTCCAGGCCTATGGACCTTCTATACAGTACCACTGAAGAGCTTGGAAAAGTCTATCAAACTTCTGAAATTGTAACCAAGATTTTAAGTGTATGTGGGTTGTTCTAGAGAGATATCCATGGCTTTTATCCAATTATCAAATGAGAGAGTCACGCTAAAAGGTCAGGACCTACCGCTTTAGTATGAGCCTTATCCATCTTCAAAATATATGTCTACATTTTTACAAATCCCTCATCAGAGTAATGGTCTGACTGTAAGAGAGTTCAACCCAGCCCAGTGCTCTGTCTTGGTTATTTTTCTTACCTCTGAGACACAATAACCAACATGCACAATTTAAAACAGGCAAGGTTTATTATGGCTCACAGTTTGCAGGAGCTTCAGTCCATATCAGCTGGCTCTACCACAGCGTGACATGACAGAGGAGAAACAGCTCCTGGCATAGCAGGCAGGAAGCAGAGAGAGATCAAGGAAGGAGGAAGGAGAGAGACCATTCCAGTCAACGCCCCCAGTGACTACCTCCTCCAACCAGCCTTCACCTCCCAATATCACATTCAGCTGTAAACTCATCAGGGGACTAATATACCTGTGAGTATCACATCCCTATGATCCAATCACCTCCCAAAAGCCCCACCTATGAGTGCATGAAGCTTTAGGGTGACATCCATACCCTATACCATATATAGGGTTTATACCATAGCACACTCAAAATGTAAATTGACAGTCTTAGTGAGAAAAGGAGCTCTTCTGTAGGACACAAAACATATTTTAATAAAAATAAAATTTAAATGTGCTAATATAATCCATTAATATTATTACATTAATAATATATTTTAAATACTTTTAAACAATAAAAAACTTAAGACATATACTAGTGAAGGGGAAGTTTTTTAATTTAAAAGTAAAATTCTAGTTAAGGAATTCATCAACATGGCTGGCTTTTTAAGGGCCAGAGATGGTCAGAAATGCTTTATTCTTTAGATGAGTTGGTTTTCTCTTTTGTTGACAACAAGGACACATGTCTTGGGAATGCTGTCAGGATACATGCAGAGTCACTGGAGAATGGGCTTCCTGAAACTCCAGGCATGTGAGGAGGGAGCGGCTTAGAGAAAACATATCATGATCCTCCTGCTTTCCTGGCTGAGCCATGCTCCTGCCTTCCTGCAGCTTTTAGAGAGAAAACATCTAGAAGATGGGGATTCCCAAATGGGACTAGGGGAGATTCTCAAATCCCCTCCACACCAAGAGTCTGTGACCACTCACTCACACATTGACATCCAGATTTCACAGCCCAGTGGGTGGTTCAGATGGGCAGCAATAGTGTCACATGCTCTCACATGACTGGTGGCTGCCTAGCATGGTTGGGTCCCTTAGCCAGACACTAGCAAGGGCTCCACAAAGGAAGACAGATGCCATCACCAGACTCCTGCCCGCCCTGTCCAGCATGGCTGCCCCTCTCCAGGGTCTAAGCAGGAGAGGAGACCCACAGAGGGTAGGGAGGATGGAATGAGAAAGTAGCCAGCCCTTTGTTCTTCAATGCAAAGAGACAAACAGCTTTTTGTCCCTTTCCCAGCAAGACTTCCATGAGGAATTAAGCTTCCCACGTGAGAGAAGAAAAAGAAGTAAAGAAATGGCCAAGAGCTGACTGGAAGAACCCTAAATGAGCTCATCATGGTGCAGGGTGGACAGCTAACTTTGAGTATTAACCCTCAGTGAGTTGCTAAGTCAGAGAGGGGGACCTGTGATGGGTGTGTGCTCACTAGTCAGACACTCGCACTGCTCCACTTGGACAGATGCCACGCCTCAGTGTGGGTCCCCAAGATCCATTCACTGTTCAGTTCGGTTGTCACAAGTGTAAAAAGAAAAGGTGGAAAATTTCTTACTTATGGTGGCTTCACAGATACTCTTTGGGGCCTACTGGGTACATGACCACTGTGAAAGGGTGGTGGCACCACACTGGGTCCCCACTAGTCTAGGTGCCATCTGAGTGCCTTCCAGGGACACCATGCTGACACTGGTTACAGCTGTTCATCCTATTCATTGGCCCTGGAGGAAGCAGGGGGATTCAAGCTCTGTAAATACTGCCTGAGGACCAGAGGCCTGGGGACACTAGATGGGACAAGCCCAGTGTAGCTCTCTCCATCAGCCTCCTCATGCCACACAATGACCTCCTGGCACCTGGACTGCACAGGCCCCCACCTTGGGCATCACGGGCTGAACCTTCTGACACCTGGACCTCCTCTCTGCAGCCCTCTGCTGCCATCCCCAGGGCCCAACACAGAACATCCCAGCATCAGGCGAGGCTTCCTGGGGCCTTTGGAGAGCTGCTGTCATTCCCTGAAGAAGCAGCTCTGCTGATCAAAACAAACAACAGTGACAAACACAAGCCCTCGCAGGACACAAACAGGCCAGCTCCAGGGCAAGCAGCCTTATCCTTGCTGTGACCCTGGCCAGCAGTGAGCCACCAGGTGGGGACATACCCAAGTCAGTGGGTAACAGGCCCCACGTTGGGCTCCCACTTGCCTGCCGTGTAGATGTAGGGTGTGTGCCGCTGCAGCTGGGCCAGGGGAAATGGTGGGTATCTTCTGGGTGGCATATGGTACCTCACTTTCTTCCAAAACTTGGTCTTGGAGCACTGTGACTGTTCTGTGGAGTCCCCGCGCCACCTCACAGCCCCATGCTTCTGTCGGATGTACTGGATGGACTCCGGCATGGTGCTGTAGTCCTCAATCCTCTCCAGCTCAATGAGAATCACCTTCATCCCATCCTGGATGAGTGCACTGTAGACTGCAATCTGCTCTTCCGACAGGTTCTTCAACAGGCCGCAGCTGGATGACTGGCGGGTGAGGATGACAATCAGCCTCCTGCAGAGCTTGATGTTCTCATCTATGACATTGGCCACAGCTGGAATAAAGAAGAGACATTTAGAGGAGCTGAAGACTCAGCCTGGGGCAGAAAGTTTCAGAGAATATCAGAAAGGGTCCCTGAGAAGAGAAAATGGACCTTACAATAAACAGATTAGAATAGAGTTTAAAATTTTTTAACATCCAGCACCCCCCTGGGAAGTCTTCCAAGATTTCCCTGAAGAACTGGGCTTCTGTGCTCTTGAATTTGTCCCACAACCCACAGTTATCACACCACAGATCCCCAGAATAGCTGAAGGTCTGGGGTAGATTGAATAATGAACATAATTTTCTTTTTAAAAAATAGATTTTTAGAAGGGCAGAGGAAATGTAGTTAGTGCAAAAGCTGTGTTAATCTCGTTGTTGTGTTTTCCTCTTGCTCTTTACAGTTACGTAGGAGACCAGATCCATAGGACTCATTTGGAAAGCACATAGCACACCCTGCTGGCAGTTTGTTGGATGGGGTAGGGGTCTCAACAGACATGGCTCTGAAGACATTATTTGGTATGCAAGTGCTCCCCACAGGGAGGAACATCGGGCTCTCACCAGCACAATGGTGACTTATTTTCGTATTTCTAGTGCCTAGACCAGTGCCTAGCATGTAGAGGGTCTCAAAAAAGATCTGCTGAATGACTGACTGAATGATACCTAGTGGGAAGAAGCTGTCTGCTTTAGAATCTGGTCAGTTTACTGCACAACCATTGAAGATGGAGGACAGGAGCTTTGGGGCTCCATGTGTGGAACGAGCTGAGCTCCACACCACACCTTCTACAGTAAGTTCTCCAAGCTGAGGTGGGGAAGGGTTCTTATCCCCATTTCACAGGTGAGGCAACAGTGGTTCAAAGATGCTGAACAAATTTAGGTTCAGGAGGAGCAAGTGGTTGAGGTTTATAAAATCAGCTTTAAACATGACCTGATTTATATAAAGTGATGGGAAACTTCTGCAGGTAGTCACAATGACTGGAGAATAAATGATCCCATGTCTCCAAGACTATCACTGGTTACCCGTTGGTGAGATTGGGTTAACCATAAGGCTCCGAAGTGAGGCTCACATTACTGCCACCAGTGAGACTCCCAGACTCTGTGGCACAGCCATGAGATGGAGGAGAGAGGAGAGTTTGGCTCCTACCCTCATTCGGGGATGGCAGCTCCAGAGTCTTGGGTCATAGACTTCCTGCGGTCCATGGGGAGGGGCTTGGAGCCGCCACCCTTTGCAATGTGAAGGACAGGAGTAGTTCCTTATTTGTTTTGTTTTTTGTTCCTCTTGCTTGTGGTCCTGGGAATGGAACTTGGGACCATGTACATGCCCTTGAGCTATGTCCCCAGCCCCAAGAGGTTCCATTTTGGTCATTTGCTAATTTCTAGCTCACTTAGAACCCACCTTGTCCAGGGAAATCGTCCCTGCCGAATATAAATAACTTATATCCACACTGCCTCTCCAGCACCTCAGGCAGGAGCTTCAACACCAGCGTGTCCACCTTGTGGCACTGGTTGTCCCTTTTAGGCTTGGGGTACAGGACGTAGGCGTCGTACAGCTTCCCATCTGAAAAGGAAATGGGGCAAACTCATGTCCAGATGCCACCAAGTTTCTTCTTGTGCACAAAGCAAGCACCTGCATTTGCTGCCATGGTGTCCTCTGGCTTAGGTGCAATGGCTTCTAAGTGCCTGGCTAGCTGACCTGGCCCTGCCATGCTACCACACTGCAGCCCCACCATTAGCCCAGCAGGGACAAGACCTGCTCAAGAAAGAGCGAGTCTGAGGTGGGACGGCGGCATCATTTCTGCAGTTCCTAATTCACCTCAAGTTTACTAAGGGATTCTAAGTGCACAGCTTCTTGTGATGAGGCTGAAAATGAGAAAATAGAGGCTCCACCAACATTACCCTCTGTGGGTGCCGGACAAGAGAGAATAGTCCCCTGTGCACAAACCAGAAGAGCTGAATCCCTGCCAAGAAGCCCCACCAGTGAATTCCAGGACTGCAGCAGGGAGAACAGCTCCCGAGTGGACTCTGAACCCGCCATGCAGTGCGGAGAAGCCAGTGTAACGCACCAGTCGCCATCCTGAGGAGGGGCAGGTGTTCGCCTGAGCAGCCCTGAGAGCAGCAGCTGCACACCAGGGCCAAGATGAGCAAGTCACAGGGTGGGTCTAATGAGGAGGCTTGTTCATGTTCACAGAAACAAAACCACTGAAGGCACAATGAGAGGGCAGTTCAGTGAACAGGAGAAACAGCAAGGAAGAAAATGTCCTCCCTGTCTGGAGTTCTCGAAAGAAATTCACAGAGGACTCCGGGCAGCTCTTGGGTTTGAAAAAGCAGGGAGGGCCTGGACAAAAGTGAGGTTCCGAGAGTGGAGGTAGACAGGCGAGAAGGAGGGCAGCTTGGAACACATGAAGGAGGGGTGCAACGGTGCCTGCCGGGGAGTCCTGAGCATGAGGAACCCCCGCAAGCAGGCCGGATGGGAGGAGGCAGAGGAGGAAGCTGTGCCAGCTACAGGCATCTCTTTGGTAAACACGGCATGGAGCTTCAGGTCATTTGGAAAATCAAAGGAACGTAGTGAGGACCAACAGGGCCGAAGTCCTTGCTTTCCCTTTTCATGGGAGTTTATCTGCTGCACAGACGTGGAGAGGGGTAGTTCTGGGATTAACAAGAGAAAGAAAAATCTCAAATTGTTCTCGTCTCATCTAAATAACAGTAGGTGATGCATGCAGAACATGTTTTTGTGTTGCCTTTTCTCATTCTGTCAGTTCTCACACCAACCACAGGGACCTGAAGGTCTCTGCTCACGAGCATGATAATACACACACATCCACACAAACTTGCAGCTGTGCACACACAGGCACACACACATGCACAGCTACATACATATCCAATTGCACACACCCTTGTACACATGCATATTTACACATGTACACACACACTTGCATGCACCAGCAGCCTTAACACATGCACAGTTACATCTGTACCCACATACAATCTTGCTCACTTGCACAGGGACATGTACACTCTTCTATGCATCTGCAGCTGTGCAAATACACGGGCACACACATGCACATTTACACAGATACCTGCACAGATGTGCAATTGTACAAAAGTGCACAGTTACTCATATATCTGCATGCATATAATTGTGCACACATGCAAGCACACACAAGCATGCTCCTTCTCTGCCTCCCCACCCCTGTATCGGAAGGAATCTGTGTGAGAGCCAGGACTCTGGCTCCCTGCTCTGCCCTCAGCACCAGGAGCAGGCCATGCCCAGAGCTCTCAGTCAGGTCTCTGTAACGAGGTCTGACTGCAGCTTGAGTTTACTAAGGCAAGGATGGAGAGTTCTAGATCCCAGGCAGAGTCAGCTTTTTATTGAACAGGACCACAGGGTGTGCACTAAAGGGATGTTTGATTTGTGTCCAGAGATGGCCTAAACCCTACACAGCTAAAGTCCTCTGGAGTCACAAGATGGAGCAGCAAGGCCATGAAGTGGGCATTTTTCTGTGGGAAATTTGACATCACAGATTTGATATTCCATAGCTGGAAAATTTTTATGAAGAAAGGAAAAAATGAAAGAAAAAAAAGAGAAGGATTCTATGTTGCAGGCAGTACCTGGGTTCAAGGCCCCTGTGTCCCAGGCTCTGCCATGGGCACCTTCTCTTCTCTCCCTCTCTCCCCACTGGCTCTGATTAAAAAGCAAACAGGGCCAGGGATTTAGCTCAGTGGTTCTGCCGCTTGCCTCGAAAGCACAAGGTCCTGAGTTCCATCCCTGGTACCAAAAAAAAAAAAAAAAAAAAAAGGAGAGAGAGCAAATAAACCACTTTTGCTAAGTGCATTCCCTTTGATACTATTCCACATCTGCTGCTTTTTGCAAGGAATGAGGACACAGATACTCCTTGTGGTCCAAATAGAAAAAGATTTGGGTAAAAAAATTCTCACACCTTTTAAAAACTCAAAACATAGAAATGCCCCAATTTCCTGTTTTTCTTTTTTCTTCCTAAGGTTTTGTTTCACTCCACTGCCAAGCCCAGGGTCCGTCACATGAGAGGCAAGCACCCTACCACTGAGCTACATGCCCCACCCTCTGATTCAGCTTTGCATAAAGATACAACCTGCTGACTTATTCTCTTCATCATTTTCAGATAGCCAATTTGTAATTTGTAATCCAGTGGCCAAGATTTCAAACATGTTGCAGGCCTGGGCTTTTTCCTTCAGCCCTCTGATTTTGAAGGGCCTGGTCAGCCTGCAGCACCTGGCATTCTTGGCTTTGCTCCTCACAGTTGACTGCAAGGGACATAGTAGAATCCTTGGATTTTGAGTAAGGAAGCTGAGACCAGCAAGACTATGTTATTTCCCTGAAGTGCACAGCTCTGATGGAAACTCAAGCCTGCTGTCCTCCTGAGGTGGACAAAACAAGACTCCAAAGGAGACAATTTGCAAAGCCTGACCCTGATCTATCCTGTGCCCCTGTGCCAGGCTGCATTCTCCAGGAAAACCTGAGTAACACTTCTGGCCCCAAAGCTTCTTTCAGAACTTCATCCACAAAAAGTGGAATCCATTTCCACTCCTTTAAAACTAGTCAGCTTCAAAAAATAAATAAATGTGAAAATAAAGCTAGTTCAGCGTCCATAGCTGCCTTGACAAGTGGGATGTGGCAGATCTGACACTAGAAATTCAGGTTACACAGGAAAATAACACCTTCCCCAGGCCTCTCTTGCTCCTGCCACACCCGCCTCAGGGAGTGGCCACCATGCTAGGGGGAGGACGTTCCTAGGAGAGCCCTTGTGGAGAGGCGCTGAGGTTTCCAGCCAACTGCCAAGGTCAACTTCCAGTCATCAGCTAAGGCCCCAGACACCCAGACCTGAAACGGACCCAGTGTGCTTGTCCCCATTCCTGGACTACAGAACCCACAAGCCAAATGGGTTGTCATTTCATGCCATTATCTCTGAGGTAATCTGCTTCCCAGTTGTAGTTACTGGAACAGCAGCTGAGGAGATAACCGCACAAATGGCAAATGCTGGATGTCTCCCAACTGCTGAGTTCATTAAGAAAATTCCAGAAATGTAGACATACTGGTGAGCATTCTGAGGAGGTAGGCCATGTGAGCGATGTACTACACCTCTCTGTGACAGGAGCTGACCAATTTCTCCATGTCCTGGCCAGGTCCTTTCATTTTCTGATAAGATCCCACAGTCTACCCTGGATGGTAAAGCATCTATGTGTGCCCTAATCAGCTGCTGGCCAAATGTACAAGAGTTCATTTGAATAAATTAATATGTGTGAAAGATTGCCTCAAGCTTATTCAATTCCCTACTTTCTCTCAAAATGATATTCTCATCCACCCAGAACAGTGGGAAATCAGACAGATTCAATCGGACTTTTCTGTAACCATCTTTCCTTGGTTTGGTTTGTTTTGCTGAAACATGAATAAAAGGTTCCAGAAGGAAAGCCACCTAAAGCATGCCATACAGTTGTTTTGGGAATGTTGTGGACAAGATTCCTCCCATCATGCCCTTTTAGATGAGGACTGTACAGCTTTCTTTCCTTTGGGAAGGAGTCCTGGGTGGGTAAAGCCACGTTCTCTCCAGAACATTTGAAAGGTGTCTATGATCACACATAATGAATCTCACAATGACCTTTGTTTTAGCTTTGAAAGCAAATTCACCTTTTAAAACAAAGACATGTCATTTACTCTACCCTTGCCTTGTTTTACCATTCTAAACTTCATTTCCCTTTGTTTGTCTTGTCTGATTTGTTTTGCTCTTAGTCATGCTGTGTGCAAATATTTCACCACTCTGACCTGGAGAAAGAGAAGGCGACCCAGGCCCATCTCTCCAGCAGATCTGTGAGCAGATCCTTCTGTTCTGGATGCACTTGCCTGACTGCCAGGAGAACCCTGAAGGCACCCAAGTTTGACAGAGAATAAAGAGAGCTTCTGACTTCTGCCACACCAGTGTGTGATCCTCATACTGAAGCCTGGGGTTCCAATCACCTGACTATTCATGGTGCTGCAAAGCTAGACCCAGATATCTGGAAATAAAGGACTTATCTCAACAAAGACACAATTTCTTTCTTCCTCCTTTGCATTTCCACCCTTTGCTCTGTGTGTGTCCAGAACACCCAGAAAATCTCCTTCCAGCCAGCAGGGCTGCAGCCGGGCTCCAGCAAAGGGTGGGGCCCCTGCTTTCTCAGATGTGTCACGATTCCTTTCTTCTCTTCCTGCTGAACTCAACCTCACTGAGACCTTGGCACAGCACAGTCACTTGTGGCCATAGTCACACTCCTAGGAGTCACAGTGAGTCACAGGGGACACATATCAAGAGATTAGGGGAGCCACAGCTTTAGGAAAGACCACATAAAGAGGTGCAGTCCCCTGTTAGGCAACAAAGCAGAAAGCAGCCAAACCACTCAGATCCATGTCAGAGAAAGTAAATGGTGTTTGGGAGTCTCTTCTCACCCAGACACAGCCAGGATCAGAAGACAGTCTTGGAGGCTGAAACAGGGCAGCCTCTGCAGGAACCACTGCAGAGAGCAGACCCAGCCCCCAATCTGACCACTTTGTGCTGGGTCAGACATTCAGGGCCATGTGATGCTTTTGCCATTGAGAGGAGTTTGTCACCTTCTACACAGCTCAGAGGTCCCCAGTGTCTGTGGTTATCACTGATTTGTTTTTCAGTGCTGGAGAAGGACCCCAGGGTCTCAGGCATGCTACACACAAACTCTACCACCAAGGTCCACCCCAGCCTCTGGGCTGCCAATTTTTAGTCAGGAGATTTAACTTAGAATAGAGTCCAAGGGAGGAGACCTGTGCTTATCATAGACAGGCACTCGGGCTGTGACTTTCTATGCCAAGCAAGCATTTCCGTGCCCTCCCTGCGTCGGGTACCACAGACCACACTCAAGCCTCACTGACCCTGCTCATGCCAGCCCTGCGCAGCTCTTCACTGGGAAGGCACTGATTCACCCACTTCCCGGGACACTTCTTTCTGCCTTATAGGAATTTTTCCATGAAATTAGAGGACATTAAAGCAGATTACTGCTTTCTTTCCAGGTTTTACTAGATCATATCCATTCTGAGACCTAAAGTGCATAGAGTCACAGGCACGAGGGTGAGGAATGCCTGTCCCCCTCAGGTTCAGGTCACTTGGAGGCATCTGTGTGTCAGAGTGCTGCCAGGACACAGGTGCCACAGACGAAGACCCAGAGCAGCACTCCCCAGGGCTCTGCTGGGTGTTTCCCTGGGCCCTCAGCACTGTTCCAGGCAGGGTGTGGCCTCCTCTCCTCTCCTCTCCTCTCCTCTCTTCTCCTTCTTTCTCTTCTTTCTTTCCTCCCACCTGTTCCTTTCCTCCCTTCTTTCCTTTTCTTTCATTTCTTTCCTTTCTCCTTCCCTCCATTCCCTTTCCTTCCTTCTTTCATTTCTTATTTCCTTCCTCCCTTCCTTTCTTCCTTCTTTCTTTCCTTCTTATCTTCTGTTATGGTTTCTATCTGGATTTCACCTAAAGCCTCATGAGCTCCTGGATGGGGCTTTGGGAGATGATTGGATCATGGGGATGTGATATTCATGGGTGGGCTAGTCCACAGATGTGTTTACAGCTTAATGTGATGTTGGGAGGTGAAGCCAGGGTGGAGGAGGTGGTCACTGGGGCTTGGCCTGGAAGAGTCTATCTCCCTCTCCCTTGAGTCCTCTCTGCTTCCTACCTGCCCTGCCAGGAACTGTTTCCTCTCTTCAATGCCCCTCTGCCGTGCTGCCCTATCTTGGAGCCAGCCGACTATGGACAGAAACGTCTACAAAATAGGAGCCAAAATAAACCTCTCCTCCTTTAACTTGTGGGTGCTGAATGTTGCATCCCAGCAAGGAGAAAGTAAATATGACATTTTCCTTCCTTTCTTCCTTCCCTCCTTCCTTTCTTCTTTCTTTCCCTCTTTCCCTCCTTCCTTCCCTCCCTCCTTCTTTCTTTTCTTCCTTCCTTCTTTCCTTTCTCTTTTCTTTTCCATCCCTCCTTCCTTTCCTCCTTCCTTTCCTCCTTCCTTCCTTCCTTCCTTGCTTCTTTCCTTCCTTCAGCTGAGAAAGAGAAGATATTTTAAATATCTTTCTAATTTCACACAGAGAGTAAGTGGAAAATTCAAGTTCAAACTCAGGTCTACCCCTGTCCAGTCTTGAGAGGTAGAGACGAGACTCTCTCCAGATGATGGCACTTTGCTCTGGAGAAATTCCCCTCTCCTTTTTTTTTTTGGTACCAGGGATCGAACTCAGGACCTTGCCCTTGCAAGGAGCCAGAACCATTGAGCTAAATCCCTGGCAGAAATTTCCCTCTCTAACACCAATGGAGGTGAGACCCCCCCCACACTTAGCCCCATTCACAGTGAGCCCCTGGAGATGACCTGCTCCCCCCTTCACGAGTCCTTCCTGGGCACTAGAAGCTTGCAGGACTCATGTGACAATGAAGCTGGTGATTGTGGACTATCATTTCTCTGAGGCATAGGTGGGGCCTGGGAGGTTCTTTCCTCTAACTTTGCCAACACCATGAAGTCCACATTTGTAAATATGATAAAAGTATACTTAGAATGATTACCCAGATGGTGGGGATTGATTTGGAGATATTTTTGATGGAAAACACACACTCACCTTCTCTGGTCTCAGCAGAATGAAAGGTACTTCGATACCAAAGTACGATGTCCACCTTAAAGATCCTGTAGACACCCAGAACTGAAGTGACCACGACCGCCAAAGCAACAAACCCTCCTATCAAGTACGCCCGAAAGTCTGGAGCTACAGGTGACAGCAAAATAGAAGAACAATACAATCACATTCTCCATGCCTTCGGATCACATGCGTATGTCAGGTGGAAAGGTGTCCTGTATCAGCAAGGGCACTGCTGAAATGCTTCTTTAATGTTAAATAACGAGTATGGAATGGGAGCATCCAATCTGACCTGGCCCATGGATTTTAGGGAACAAAAGAGCCCCAGGGAGCCTGACACAGGAAATCCTCAGAGTTCTGGTTGCAGGTGGCAGACACAGGGTGACTCCAAGTGTGTGACACTCTGACATCACCCTGTGTGGTCTCCCTGGCCAGTGTGACAGCCCCACAGGCCGAGCCTTGGCACATCTGTTGAGAATGTCCCTGATGGCCTTGCAGCATGTCAATGATAATGATCCTGCTACCCTGCTTTGCCAGGCACTCCACACTTGGCAGCAGGGCTCCTGTCCTAAAGAAAGGGCCCCTTGTACCTCGTCCCTGGAAGCCTCTCTGCAGGTACCACCCAGTGTGCCCCATTCTCTTGGGGCATCAGAAACACACAGGCTCCAAAAAGGTGTTCCACTGAGTCCATGAAGCACAAGCTCCCACAGCCCAGGCCTGGCCACCAAGGGATGGAAAAAAGGAACCGGGAGAGAGGAAGAGAAATGCAACCAAGGAGTCCCCAGGAAGGAGGGAATCAGGAATCAGAAAAGGGGAACAAGGAGGGAGGAAGCAGAATCCTCCTGGTTCCTAGAATCCACCTCACAACCGACTTCCTTCATGGGCCTTCCTGATCCTTCCCCTCACTCCAGGTTGTGTGGGGAAGGAGAAAGAAAATAAGGGAGTCTTTCTCTGAGCCCCCAGAGCACTTCCTTTTTACCATTTTATTAGCACACAGTGTTGCACAGATTAATGAGTTTTATTGTGGTGGATTTGTACATGTACATATTTTAATCATTTCTTTCCATCGCTTTCATGCCCCACCCACCACCCCAGTTTCACTTTTTTGGGGGGTAGGGGTTCAATGGATGTAATGTATTTTTATCAATTCATGCCCCTTATTGCCAGGTCTCACACCACACCATTCTTCCCTTCCTCTGTATAATAATATAGGAGTCTCCATCCTTTCTTGTCATCTTTTTTAGATTCCACATATTAAAGAGACCATGCAAGATTTGTCTTTCTGACTCTGGCTTGTTCCAGTCAAAAGAATGGTCTCCAGATCCAACTATTCCTGCAGATGACAAGAATCCATTCTTCCTTATGGCTGGACATGGTTCATTTGCATACACACCACATTTCTTTTTCCATCATCCAAAGTGCTCATCATGCTCTGCCTAGGCCATGCTGTGGTGCCAACACCTTGAGGTCCTGGATCTCCTGTTTATTACCGAGCACCTTTCAATCAAGATAAAGAGCAGTGACCAAAACACACAGGTGCCCCTCATCCCAAGCTGACCCACACATTCAGTCCCTAGGCAGCCAGGTGGAACTGCTCACTCTTCTGGTCAGGCAGCCCTGAGTCCTCGGGGTCCCCTGGCTTCTCCCACTCCCCTGTCCTCTTTGCCAGCTCCTTTCATTCCCTTTGGAGCAACAGTACCAGTGCTCCCTCCAGGAAGGCCCGGGCCTGGGGAGACAGAAGGTCTCAGCACTTCACTTCTGAGGTCTTAGAACTGCAAAGGGCCCCGAAAGGAAGCCTATGCCAGCAGTATTTATGAGGTTCATGTTCACACACAGAGCCCCTGTGAGGAGAGAAAGCCTTGAGTCCATTGTCCATTGCAAACCAGGAGTACTGATATCCACCTGAGCTCTGCAGTGAACTCAAAGATGACAACACAGAGGCAGGAGATTCTTGCACAAGTTCAAAGGCAACAGGGGCTTTGAGACAAAATAAATGGGAAACTTGCTGCAGATGAAGAAACAGTATCCACTATCAGAGCCCATGTGTCCACCAGCATGGAGATGCTGGGTGAGGACAGACAGAAAGGGATAGAGGACAGAAGAGGACAGCTGATATGAGCAAGGTCCTGGTGAGCCCTGCTTCAGACAGACCAAATAAGATTCGTTCAAAGCTGGAAACGTCCCTACCCAAATTAAGGAAGTCAAATGGGGAAGCTATCACCTTCACTTCACCACAAGCAAACCCACAGGAAGCCTGGATTGAAGAGGGTGAGGTTCCTAAGAACTCAGGGTGAACAAAACAGAGTGTAGCTGCCCGAAAACACATTGCCTGTGACTGGGAAGTGAGATTGGCAGAAATGAATGGACTCAGTGAGCAAGAGCTCCCTGATGGGCTGAAAACAAAGGGGAGAGCACACAGCTCCTCCCATCCCATGACTGACAGGTGAGGAGGTGACAGCTAAGCTAGCATCCACCCCCCTAACCCTGGGCTTAGCTCAGAACCCTTCTGAACACAGTTCATGTTGCCCTGGAAATGATCAAGTAGCGACAGACTAGGTTGGTAAATAAAGCACTCTTCCAGGGTGAGATGGATTTAATCTGTGAGCCCTCAGTTTCATGGAATGTCCAAAGCATCCCACAGCCAGCATCCCCCTTTTCCAGGGCCAACCCCAAGTCCCTCTTCTTTCTGGCCTGATTTAGGCTGTGTTTCTGCTGGAGGCCACTGGGGAGCACGGAGGCTGAAGGGTCTTCAGGCTCTGCTCTACTCCCTGATTGAAAAACAACTGTCCCCTCCCTCACTGCAAAGGCACCTCCTCCATCAAAATATGGGGCCCATAGCAGAGCCACGGTTGCCCCTCATCTGACTCTGTTCTCAGCAAATAGAGGTGGCCAGGAGGTACCTGGGATAAGGTGGATAGGGTAGCCCTGAATGCCAACCAGGGCTGCCAGCATCCTGGGAAAAGGAGGGACAGGGGACTAGCAAAGCCACAGCATCTTGGAAAAGAGATACAGCACCACTGGAAGGTACTGGACCAGACAATGTTCCTGAGGCAACAAAACCAGTCAGAAAACTAATACAAGCATCATTGGATGGCCCACAGTCATGGCCAGAATCAGGGCAGGGCTAAGAAATGCAATTTTTTAGAACTCACCAAATGTCAGACTCTGTGCTTGCTCTGACAAATCATCTCACCTCATTCTCCCAGACACTGCACAAGGGTAGTGACAACAGGTACAGTCTCCCCTAAGCATGATATAGCATTAAATAGAAACATTAATGAGAGACCATCACCTGGCAACCTGACTCCTAACACAGAGAGGAAGCCTGCTACAGGGCACCAGGCATACACACCGGTCTGCAGGGTGGCATTACTTGTTGACAGTCCTAAATGGGAAATAATGCAAATGACCACATGTTTTCAGCAGAAGGGACAAACAGCGACCTAGCAGTGCAGTGAGGAAAACGAATGGGCTGAGCGGCTGGTGCAGTCATCCATGTATCAGCCAACCGGACACCTCAGCAAAGAATCAAGTCCCATGAGAAACTGCACTGTCTAATTCTCTAATTCTCGGTGCAAAGCTCAAATATAGGTAGAGTCAAGCCATACTTTCAGGAATATCAACCTGGATGGGAAGGTGAAAAAATAACTTTCCTACAATTTGGAGGAGTGATTACAGTGGTACCTCACTTCATGAACTTAGTTATTCCCACAATTTTGGTTGCAAATTGAAATGGATGAAAATCTAATCAGATTTCCCCATAAAGTCAACATTGAAGTAACCAATAAATTTGATTTGGCTCAAGTCAGTTTATGATCAGAATCATGGAAAGAATTAAATTTGGGAACTGAGGTACCAGTGTACCTAATCGGAAAGCAATGCTTTGATCCAAGAGGGCACATGGAGACTCTTCAGCTCTGCCAATGCTCACTGTTTGTTTCTGTTTTTCTTAATCCAAGTGGTGGCTTTACATGCATTTGTTGTACAATTATTTGAAATGTGATATGTGTGATCCATGTATTCTTTCCTATATGCATGTTTTATTTCACAATAAAAAAGTTTTTAAAATCCAATTCATTCTCAGCAACCCTCCGTGGAAGGTGCTATGTTACTCATTACAGAGGTAAAGAAAATGGAACACAGAGAAGGTGAGTGACAGTGCTGTGTCACACAGCTCACACAGCCAAGCCAGGAGCTAAGGCTGGGAACCCGGACCTCAAAGCCTGGGGTCGGGACTACCGTACTGTCTTTCGATTGGCACTGGTCAGGAGGGCACAGACACAGCTGGCAAGCACCATGGAGGAAGACTCTCTAGAACAAGCTAAAACTGGCAGGCAATGACATGAGGGGAGAAGAGGAAGGGATCAAGGTGACCCCAGCCTTGGAGCCTGAATAACCCAGAAGACAGGAGCTCAGGCACCATTAACAAAGCTAAGACCAACAGCAAGAGGTTCAAAAGGATTAACATGTTGCCCAAATTCAGGTATGGCTCTGCAGTCACTGAACAGGCTTCCATGTAGACGAGCAGGACAGAGACAGATTTGGAATCTGCACTGCACAGAGGACAACAGAAGTCACAGGGGAAGAGAGGCCATCAAGGAGAGGATGCAGAGAGGATGAGACCTCAGGAGCCCCAAGAGGACTCACTGGAGCAGGGTGAGCTCAACCCCCAGCCACCCCAGTGCAACCCAACAACTTCCCAAGACCCCACTGAGCCGGTGTTGTGGGCTTGCTCACAGCTGGGACAGTGATCCTGGCCTCCGGGTCACCAGAGAGAGGCAGAGAGCAGAGACACAAGCTGCGGTGGACACGTCCTATGGCTCGATACTCTAAGGGGGCAGTGGATGCACCTGGGCTGAGAGCTCAGCAGGAGTACAGGCGCTGCCGCCAGCTCTGTTCAGCAACTGCTGTTCTATGTGGTGGTCTAGAAAAATGTTCTTCATGGGGCTTGAGATAGAAGTATCCAAACGAGGGGTAACTGCCCCTTACGGGGCACTGGCAACCCGAGCATTCTCTCATGCATAGAAGTCACCCCACTACACTCACAGGATGTTAACAGAGTCAAGAAGTCACCTCGGTAAGCCACACAGCATCTCACAAGCATTTCATATTCTACCCTGGTAGGTTAGGAGTCCAATGTTGTCCTCAAGGTTGTGCTTTTCCCCTCCACTCTCCACTGGCTGTCTTAATGAGCCCCAGTGGGTAATCAAATGTTCTGCACAGAGCTGAGTGCAGTCTGTGTGCTCACTTGGAGTTAGTAACCCTCCTGCTCCCATATTCCAGTTGAGGATAATTTTTCAAAGGTACATGGTAAAAATATGCATAAGCATTTTTTTGTGTATCAAATTATTCATGATAATCTATAAAGCTAAAAATCACAATAAATCGGCTAGAAAAGTTGAGCGATCCAGTTCAGCAAAGGAAAACTTAGTTTTCTAGAATGTTGATGCACAGAGATCTTAATGTATTTGAGTACTGCACTTTCAAAGCTACTCCCACAGAATCACAGCCTCACTCCACAGAGAAGACCAGCTTCTCCCTAGACAGCACACCTCAGTTTTATCCTAATGCCACCCTGGACATCGCCTCACACCAAGCACCTGATGTCATTTGTCTTTGACACCTGGTTCCTGGCCATCACTGAGTGCTCTGATCGCTATGAGCCTACTGGATGTTACCTGGGAACCTTAGCATGATATAGGCAGCAGACACCCCGGCATGGCATGTGAAAGGAAGGCCATAGTCCTCCATCTTCACTTCTAAGAAGGTGATGTTGACCGTGTAAAAAATGTGTTCCGGAAAAGAGACATTGTTTCTATAAAAAAAAAGAGTCAATCTTTAGTACACAAGTGGTATTTACCCAGCATCATTTATAATCTTTATTCTGAATGTTAAGTGCTTCTTGTTTTTCTGAAGAATACCTTGGATGGTGATTTGACCCTGAGAATACATCACCGAGAGGCCCAGCATGGGCTGTGGACCATGGAGTGACAAATCTCTTTCCTCCTGGACAGTGATGGGGGAGTGTGATTCTGTTGACAAGAGAGCCTGTGCCCAGCCTCTGGGGCCTCCTGGTCCCCCACACGCATCCTACCTTGCCACATCCCACAGTCCACACAAGTTCCTCTGCTTTCTGGCTTCCTCTTTTACACCACCAGAGTTACACCTCAACAAGTGAGTTTATAGCACACACTGCCCAAGGGTCCCTCCATTGGTGCTGGTTTTAGTACTTAGGTTTGAAGGCCATGTTCAGGATATCCCTGAATGCAGCAGGAAGAATGCTGTCACTCTGTGGCTCACTTCTGGTTTGCCACATGTCCCCAGTTAGGCTGGGGCTACTCATGACAGAAGCATCTCACAGCTCTCTGAACTCAATGCTCAGCAATGCTTGGCACACCAAGATCTTAGAACAACAAAGCCAACAGTGACCAGGAGAAGGTGGGAGCCATTAAACTGTCCACCTATCTATACATTAATGGAGATGGGGAAGCCCATGTTAGCTTTAGAGAAGCCAGGAGAGAGAGCACCTACTCGATTCCCTCCTGGATGCGTTTGGAGTCGCTGTAGTAATCATCCACCATGGTGTTGTTGACTTTCCAGCATCGGAGGTTCGTGTTCTCCTTGGTGTCTGTTATGTTACAGTTCACAATGAGCATGGAGCCTGTGGTGACCACATTCATAAGTATTAAGTTGCAGTTGTGCAAGTTTCAGCTTTCAAATTGTGCAGCACCTCAGGCTTTTGAGCCTGGAATATCTTTGATTAGGAGAAATGCTCCAGGGTCAGTGTTAATCTGCTTCATCCTCTCTCTGCACAGATACCAGGAGGGAGGAGAGATCTTTCAGGGTACCCATGTGGAGACTGGCATAGGCTGACACGTTCCTACAGCTTCTGATGCAGATTTTCTATAATCATAGGGACACAATTATTTCTACTCCTAGTGATATTAGCAAAGAAATTCACAGTTTACAAAGTACTGCATGTGTATTTTCTCCCTTAGTCTTTATACCTTTGAAGTAATCCAAGGCCGAAAAAGAGGAAATGTTATTATCTATCCCCATGTTACAGGTGGGAAAATTGAACTTCAGGCCCCTTGAGGGTCTTGCCCAAGGTCACACATGAATTGGAGCAAGAAATGAGACATAAACTCCAGGTTTCTAGTTCCAAATCCAGTAATATTCCTGCTTTAGAAATGTGACCCCAACAACCTTTCTCCTTTTCTCCTTATTTGGTCTCCACACATATTCATGAATCATATTTAACAAACTTGTGATTTCACATTATTTTGCCCTATGAACCCAATAAATAGTACTTCAAGTTCCAAGGAATGTTCTTTATTTGAATATCTACTGTATTATGAATATAACATACATATCAAAATATATAAAATGTGAGTGTAAAGTTAACAAATTATGATAAATCAGTCATACCCCTTCATCCCAGGACCCCAGAAGACTCTACTTTATATTTTAAATTATTTCAGCTTTCTAATACTGGCAATCACACATCTCACTACCTGCTTCTTGTGCATTTAAAGTGTCGACTATTATAAAATTCATAAAGCCAGAAAGCTATTAGAAAACTATGAAATGAAACTTCCTTAATATGATTTAAAAATCTATTTTAAAAAGCCTACAGAAATGTCACATTCAATACTGAACTGTCGGACGCTTTTCCACTGTGTGTGTGTACATGTGTGTGTGCGTGCGTGTGTGTGTGTGTGCGTGTGTTGTAAGGGCACATTATACAGTTATAGGTTCAAAATTGAACTTTCATCAGTATATTTCCTTCTAATAATACATTTTGTCTTAAGATCTACCTCAGTTAATGTAATTAATATAATTATGCCAACATTATTTTAGATAGTATTTTATGTTGTATATCATTTTCTATCCTTTCATCTTCAAATTTCTTGTAAACAGCACATGGGATTTTTATTTTTTAATCCAGCATGACTAATTTTATTTGGAGCATTTCACCCATTTATTAATGACAAATGTTATATTAAATCAGCTATTTTAGGTGTGTTCTATGTGGTGCATTTACTCCTTAGTTGGCTTTTCTTTCTTGCCTTTTTTTGGATTCCTTGTTTGAATTCCTTCTGCCTCTATCGCTGATTAGTTTTTAGTATTACATTTAACTGTGTATTTTAAAAAGTATTCTTTTACTGTAACTAGACAATAAAACATATCAAAGTTATCAAAATCTGATATTATTGATATTTTTACCATCATCTCTGACACTATGTAGTTCTTTGGACTTAATTTCACTTACCTCACCCCAGCAGATAGCAAATGGTGCTGTGTATTTTCATTTTGTAGGTATTTTACATGTCATGAACAAACATCATTGCTTTATCCATTTAGATTTATTATGTGGAAGTGGAAGTATTTTCCTGCTGCCTGAAGTATTTCTTTCATTGGAGGACTATGATTGACAATATATACCAATTTTAGTCTGTCATATTTTCACTGGTTATAAAATTAGCAGGTTTGGGGCTTTTTTTTTCTAAGTTCTTTTATTGGTACATTTTAGGTATAAAATTCATTCACATTTATCATTGGGTGTTTGTACCTGTACATGATGCATCTTAGTTCTTATTTTTTCCCCATTACCTGTGCTCCCTTCCCTATGTACATAGGCATCGTGAAGCGAGGGGAAGGGGAAAGGAAAGGAGGGAAAGGAAAAACTATGATAAAAGAAAAAAATGGAAATGATGTTTGGGGCTTTTTTAAAGCACATGGCCTCCATTGTTTCTGTTACAGTGTCAACCAGTAGTCTTACTATTGCACACAAAAGGCACTTCTCTTCCTTTTCTTTCTTTTTAAATTTTTATTTATTTATTTATTTATTTATTTATTTATTTATTTATTTATTTTTGAGACAGGGTCTCACTGTGCAATTCAGGCTGGCTTTGAACTTGTGGTGATCCTCCTTCCTCAGCTTCCAGAGTGCTGAGATTACAGGAATGAGCCACCATACCTGGCTCTTCCTTTTTTAATACTATTAATACTTTTTTCCTTTTGTTTCCATTTTGTGCAGTTTCACAATAGACTATGTAGATGTCATTTTATTTTCCTTAATCCTGCTTGGGATTCTTTGCTTCTGGAATCTTTGGATTGGGGTCTCCTACAAGTTTGGGACCTTCTCAGCATTACCTGGGAATAAATAGCATTGCTTCTGCCTCTGCCTTCCCTCTGTTCTTTCATCAGAGACAGCGACACTCTGAGTGTGTGTGTGTGTGTGTGTGCATGCCTGTGTGTGTGTGTGTGTGTTTGTGTGTTGCATCTGAGTGTTCTCTTTCAATCCATACCCTTGCATCCATACTTCCTATTCTTTTGTCTCTGGGTGATTAGTCCTACATATTTTCTCCTGACCTATACTTTAGTTCATTAATCATCTTTTCAAATATATTTTATATTCTCTTAAAACCTCCCTTGAGTTTTCTGTTTGGGTATTGTATTCATCAGTACTGGACATTTGATTTGTTCCTTTTCCAAATCTGGTATGACGTTATTTCTAATTTCCAGCTCTCTTTGGAAAGTTTCAATCCTGTCTTTCCTTTCCTTAAACAGGCTAAGGACAGTTTGTTTTAAAACTGTGTATCTAATATTCCCTTCTGTAGCCCCAAATATAAACTGGAGAGGAGTCAAGAAGAGGACAGAGAGCCGCTGTGCACAAGGAAAGCAGCAGACCCAGGGCCATGGCAGGCATGGGAGGCCTTGGGTTTCCTGCTGTGTAAGCTGGGAAGCCCGGGGAGCCGGAAGCACAAGTGGTGTAAAGCATTGCTCATTCACTACCGGTAATGCATTAGAGCACCTTTCACAGTACCTTGGCTAATAAATGGTAATATATGTTTAATCCTTACCAATTCCTTAGATAAATGTATATTTCTCCTCTTACAGGTGAATTTTCTCATATTTTGTTGGTTTTCTTCTTGTATGAATTATTTGCCCCAGTTAGATTGCCATTTTCTCCATTTGCTGATTTTTTGCCATATATAAGTAATCTCACCCATGTTCTGTCCTCTCTACTACAAATATTTTCCCCTAGTTTGTCCTTTACATTTCAACTCCAGCATTTTTATATATAGGTATTTGCATTTTTAAAGGGAAGTCTAATTTTTTGATCTTTTCATTTGTGATTTCTTCCCCTGTGTATAGTAACATTCTGATGTTTAATACTTTTATTACTATATGGTTGAATTAAAAAGTTATCCAGAAAAAAACTATTCCAATTTAGCAATTACAATTGAAATAAATATGTCAATATGTGTTTTTTTAACCCTATGATGCTGATTGCTCCAAGGTGACACTCCCTGTGCATCTGGATAAAGGACAGTTGATGCTTTGGAAATGGTGTGGCTGCAGTCCCCATTAAAGGCAGGTGTCCACTGACAGGTAATCGCCTACATAACTGAATCCCAAGTGAACACAGGCTTCACACAGCCTAGTGAGATCATTAATAAGGCCCTAGAAAGCATGTTCATATCAAGTTAATATCCTGTTATTTCAGGTATGTAAAAATAATATTGACTTTGAAAGTTTATTTTATATTGGAATAAGTATTACTGAACAACTACTAGTGATTACAAATTTTAGATTTTTTGAAATTTCCAAGCATATACCCATAAATCACTTAAAAATATGTTTATCTTCCTCCTTAAAGACTCCTACTTTCTTAGCCCATCATGGTAGCACATACCTGTAATCCCACCACTTTGAGAGGCTAAGGTGGGAGGATCACAAGATCAAGTCCCTACTATTTAGCAAGACCCCGTCACAAAGTAAATAATAAAAACAGCTGAGGATAGAGCTCAGTGTGGAAGCCTTGGGTTCAATCCTCAGTCTAAAAACACAAGTCCTAGTTTTTAATTGCCTAAATACATTGGGTAAATTTTTAAAGACAGGAGTAGGGGAGTGGGGAACAGTCAATTGAGAGATGTAACAGGCAAACTTGTCTTTCTGAGTGTTTGTGAAATCTATAAAAGCATCCACATGGTGAGGGGTATGTACCTAATATCCATTCTCATGGACATTCTATTCCTTGAAAGTTTAAAGGACTCCTACAAACATAGGCACAGGACCTTGTTAAACAGATTTCATCTCCATACCATTTCTTGTTTTATAAGTTTTCACATTTCTAAGTCTTATATTTGGGTTCCTCTGCCTTCAGGAGATTAGATTTGTTAGGATCTTTTCTATCTCCCCCAAACCCCATTCTTCAACCCTTCTACTCCTAAACTTGCTAGCTATAAGACTCAGTATTCTAATGGGCTTTTTCCTTTAAGTTCATTATTTTCTACTTTTAACTTTGTTGTTTAGTTACTCTTTTTTTTTTTGAGAGTCAAATGGTTATTCATGCATTTTAATTATTTCTACACTTACTTGTAATAGTAAAGATGAAAATTTATTTGGGAAGTAGCCATGAAATTGGACTTGAAGTATTGTCATTGTCATTATTTCTAAATAGTGTCTACTTTTTTTACCCAAGGAAAGCAAATGATTAGAAGACATATTAGTGGTTGTTTCATTTTTTAAAGTTTTAATTGACAGTAACTACATATTTATGAGATATAATGTGACATTTTGATATAAGCTTACATTGTGGTTATAATTAAATCAAGCATAATAGTGAACCCAACATCTCACATGCTTACTTAGATTTTTTTTCATTGTTTTGACTTGAGTCCTAAATTTCTAGATTTAATTTATTGTGGTTGTACCATGTGGTGTGTACAACTTCCTCTTTTGGTTCTGCAATTTTCATGAATGTTTATGAGTCATTTATTAAACACATTATTGTTACTATATTAATCAAATATTTTATATCCTTATTTACTTATTAAATCCATCTATACCATAGCATATTAAAATCTCCCAATACAATTGAACCAACTCTATTGTTTTATTGCAGTACTCTGGTATTTTCAAATGAGACTCTTAAACTTTATATATTTTGATGAACTGATTTTCAATACATCAAAATTTGTATTTCAGGAAGCACTGTCATTTCCATTAGTATAAAGTGATCCAATTTGTCATTTATTTTTTTTGTTTCAGCCTTAAATGCTATTATCAGCCTGAAATCGCCCAACCTGATTTTTTGGATTAATTTTTGCAAATGACACCTCATTTACACAGTTTTTTTTAATACCTTAGAGCATGAATTTTTAAATATGTGCCTTTAAGGAAAGAGTATGTAACGAGATTTATAAAATCCTCATTGGATTTAATATTTGATTCAATCTAAGTAGCTATTTTGAATGGAAACATTTTTTAGAAGATACTTGACATATTTTATTTTACTAGTGACTTCCTTTAAGTTCTAAAAAATGATCTGAGCCTCTTTCTCAACTTAGATCACAAATTGGGGCGATATTTTTTGGTCCTTTCTTATAAATGAAGGAATATAACATGGTCATTTCTCCTACTCCTTTAATATTCCTTCCAGTAGGAGAAAATATAATCCAGAATTCCTGACCAACATTATTTACCAGTAGTTTTATCTTATGCACTGTCTTTTTCAGGGATTTTTTAATGTTTTTATTCCCTGTGCATAAACATATTTATAGTAATCATCTAGGCCCACATTGCTCACAGCTAGAATCCCAACATCCTGGCTTTGCTAGGCTTCAGTTTTCTCAGTTTTCATCTCGATTCCTTTGCTGATGAACTCAGGCATATCCAAAGCTGGAAACTAGGTCTGTATGAGATTTTTCTGCACCTTTGAAATTCAAAACACTCACTAGAAAAAGTGGCTATAATAAGCTCTGCCCTCGATGATGTCAACAAATCCGCCAACTTTACTCACCAAGTCGCACTTCAATGGAATTATTTTGAGGATAAATAATCTTAGGGATTCTTCCTCCAGGTCTACCTCTTTCTGCTAAGAAATCACACCCACAGGAAATTACATTAGAATTCCCAAATACTTCCCAAATTACATTCCCAAATACTTTAACACAACACTGGGAAGCACTAGACTGTCAATAAACATTGATCAAGAAAAGAAAATCACAGTGATAAAACATCATTCCATAAATGGACGTTCTTTCAACAAGAAATTTTTGAATTGCTGAGGGGGGAAAAAAGGAAGCTAGAAACTGAGGTAGCAAGAAAGTTCACTTCAGCCATTGCATATTTGATTTAAATGTAAAATAACAAGATGTTATAATGAAATTTCAGTACTTAAAAATACAAATACAGAAGAGGTCCTACGTGGAAAGAAATAATGACCTGAACTTATCATTATTTTGAGTTCCCTCTTCCAACCATGAATCTCCATGTTGTTCCATAACTTCCTCTTCCATATTCTCCAACTTTTTCATCCCAGCACCTCCACTTTACAATGGCATCCTAGTATTGACTCCTTGGACCCCTGCTTTAGTCTTTTTCCTCCCTTCTCTTCCCCATTTAGCCACCAAAATTTGGCAATCACCTGCTCAGTCTCATATTCCTCATATATTTGGGGTGGGATGTGGAAAAGTTATGGGGGAGGCTAGGAAAAAATGCAGAAATACATGGCCTTTGTGATGGTCATACCATTTGGACACTCTACAAACTATTCAAATTCAGTACTCCCAAACAAAAGCCATCACCAGCTAGTCAATGGACCCAGTAGGTCACACGTGGAAAACAGAAGTCATTCTGTTGTCTGTTTGATCTCCTACTTTCCTTTCCCTCATTACACTAGCTCGTCATCCCAGCACCCACACATTAGTGGGTGCTCATTAGTGGGTTAGCACTCATTTCTGCCTCACCACCCTCTTGGACCCCAAGCTTCATCATGGCGGTGGTCATGGCTGTTTTCTTTATCATCGTGTCCTCTCTGTGCCTAGTACAGGACCTGGTTTGCCAGCATTCAGTAAAGAATCCCTAGGGGACAAAGTGAAGAAGAAATCCCCACTGTCTCCCACTAAGTGCAGACTCCCAGACTCTCCCAGGTATCAGATGAGCCGCTATGTGCCCTCCAACGTCTGGACCCTCTTCAATCTCTCCTGCTTCCAACCATCTCAAGGCCAACCTCCTCCATCACAGGTGCAGCCACATAACTCGGCCCTCACTGGCATCCAGGACCTTTGGGGGCCACATGGTGAAGCCCACATGTAAGGAGCCCCCTGAATTTTCCCCTGTTCACCTCCACTCCCTTGCTTCCCCCATCTCACAATCACCATACTCTAGTGAGATCTGTGACACAGCCAATGTAAGTCACTATGCTGGACACATCCACACTTTGCCTCACCCTGCGTTCTCTGCCCAGAGACCCCTTCTCATTTTTTTCTCATGACTATCAAACCTATGCATCCTCTGAAACCCAGCTGAGAACCTGTGTCCTCTCGGAAGCCTTCCAGATCATTTACTTGCCACCCCATGGCTCTTTTCTTCTCCTCCTGATCCTAGCACATGAGGCTAAAGCAATCCATTTATACCTCTAGATTCACTCCTAGCAGGCTAGGAGTTTCTGTATAGATGGAACAAATGGTTTTTTAAAATTTTTTTTAATTATCACGACCTAAAAATAATGCTTGCCAGATAAGGGATCATTAATCAACGTTGACTGAATGAGCATAAAATATGGACTATTGGACCCACATTCTTCATTCTGTCTTACAAATTCCACCTTTCCCAAAACTCCCCCAGATCCCCATGTATAACTAGAGCATCTTGGCAGTGAAAATAAACAGTTAATAAACAGATCTGTGGCCAGGCACAGGTGCCAGGATTCAACGGTGACCAAGAAGAGATGTCTACTTTCAAAGTGCTTGACTACAAGGGGAAAGTTAAAACTGAAAGCCACCCAAAACACCGAAGTCACCTGAGTAATTTCATTAAGGAGATAGAAGATGAGAGAGAAAGGCCAGTGAGTGGGAGGGAATGGGAGTCACCAGCCTCTTGTGAACTCAGGGCCAGGGCCATCTGGGCCCCTCCAGGTGGGCAGCACCAAAGGGAACCACAGCACCAGGCACTAGCAAGGTACCCAGACACTGGTAGACACTTCTGTCCCTCTGGTGAGAAGGTACAGAAACAACTCTGTACTGAAGAGCAGGCAAAAGCTGTGAGACATGAAAAAGTCCCTGGCCCCAGGTGCCTGGAAGGGAAAGTGCCTGCCTGGGCTTGGAGGCCACACTGCAGGCCGCAGGCCTTGTCCACACTAGTAAGCACTGTCATTAGTTACTCCCTCCTCAGCCTCTATAGAATGAAGGGGTTTGGCTAAGTTAGTTTCTTCTACCTGTAGGATTGGGCTTTGAAATCTGCAGGGCATGTGTTCAGGAGAACTGGCCATCCTGCATTAGGGACTAGCACCTCATGGGAAATGGGTCTCCCAGAACCATGTCAGACACCCTGGCCCATTTAGAGCCGGAGCCAGGGGAGGTCACTGCTGGGATGACCACTGAAATCCATCACAGTGCAGGCTGGGGACACTAGGATCATAGTAATAATATCTCCCACATACTGAACACCAGGTACCCAGCAGCAGCCAGCCCTACATGATCTCACTTAATGAACACAAACAAACCAAGAGTTTTGAGTGCTCCTTTTCTTAGATGGGAAAACTAAGCTGCTCGTGCCCTCCTGCCTTCCTCTTTTTACTCTCTAATCTAACAGTGACTTGTTTGAGATTCTGCTAATTCTTGGGAAAATCAAGATCTAGGTTATTTTTGCCCAAGGCCTGAAACAAGCCCACTCACCTAAAGGGACAGGAAGACCCAGTGACAGGTGTGGACATACTTACTGATGCTCACAGTGATGCTATTTAAAACCATGTACTGGATCCTTGGATGTGCCTGGTGCTTCAGTATGGCTGTGCATGTATAGTTCCCCCCGTCCTCAGCAGAGACATTGTACACAAAAAGCTTCATATCCGAAGAAACAAACTTCTGCTGCTCCCTGGTAATCTCTTTACAGTCCTAAATTTCAAAATAACATTCTAATCAATGAGTACTTGGGAGCATTAGTTGCACCCTAGTTAGCTCCATCCTGTAGGGAGATAAATCCTGTGGCCCTACATCTCAGTTATTTACCATCTAAGCAGAAAAGATGATGGATGGATGGATGGAAAGAGAAAGGAATTCCTTGCTCAGTCCTTGTGTGTATGTGAGCTATATATATGGATCTATATTTGTATCTATCCAGCTACATCCACCTACAGAATGTCTGACAAAGAATACCTCATGGGGCTAAGCCATATGGGATTTTTTTGGGAGGACAAGATCAGGCAGGAGCATTCTTCACCACATGGCCAATCTCTCCCCCGGACTCCCATCAGCCCGGATGAGTAAAGACTGCTTCTACCATTTCACAGACCCAATGACAGCTTTTCTACCTATTGAGGTTTTTACTTTACAGAATCCAAAATAACTCTTCACCAACAGCCTAGGTGGAATCCTGCACAGCAACTAGGCTACAGAGAGAAGGTGACTTCTCATGTCACCCAGGCCTCCATTGTGTCAACAAGGAACAACCTTAAAGCCTACCAGCATGAAGACCAGTTCACCTCAGGAATGCTTTTCTCTCTTGTCCTCCTCAGCCACCATCCAGGGGCTGGACTCACAGTGTAATCCTCTCAGAAGCTCACACACTTATGCTGGTCACCACGCCTGCTTCTCAAGGGGCCTTGCCAGCTCCTCTACCCTATTCTACTCCACAGAGAAACTTCCTGGCCAACTGAGTGTGCTTATTCAGTCTAACACCTGTGTTTCTATCTTTCCCAGCACCATAGAGACCTTGGCCACACAGGTAGAAGACATAGTCTCTGTCTTCAGTAGACTCACAGTCTAATAGATAAACACACAAACCTCTAATGCAATGAAAAATTAATTACACAAGTTTTGAACTTTCTCCTCCCTTAGCCAACCAGAGTTCACAGTGAGTGCTTGTTTATTTACAGTGTACATCATGGCTGCCTAGAAGTCCTACATTGTTTCCTTATAAATACCCTACAGGGGAAACCAGGTTATCATTAGACAATTGCCCACCAAATAGAAAGGAAGTTACCATTAAGAGTCAGAGGGATGAAAACAGCAAACCCTGGTGGCAGGATGCTGCCTTCTTTGGGTGACAGAAAAACACAAACTTTGAGTCTTTGGACTTTGGCCACCTCTTCTCTGGGTAGACCTCACTGCATAAGCCCTTCCAGGCACAATCCCTGGGCCTTCCTGTGCTTCTATTGTTGAGCAGACCCTTTCTGATGGACTTGTTCTTTCTTTCACAATAGGCAAATATTTAATATTAATATCTGGCCTTGGTATCTAAGGGTCATTCAGTGACTGTGACTTGGACAGCCCCTGTTTTCATCCACTAGGGCATTATTTCAAAGAATAAACTCTGAAAGGCTTGTTTTTCATTCTAAAATTCAGGGTTGATGTCTCACTATCAAGATAGATTCAAAATTAAAATATGATAATAATAGCAGCTAATATTTGAATGTCTCATATTGTAGAAGCTAAGAAGAACAGTCATAACCTACAATGCACAATGTTTCAGGGACACAAAATAGCCAAGAGCATTGTGGCTAAGATGCAGTGGGTATAAAAAACTGATGGGGAGAAAACTGGTGAGGCAGGTCGGGGCCTAGCCAGAAAATCATAAAAACAGTATGGACACCTGAAGCTTGAGGGACACAAAAAACCAAGAAGATCAAATGATGCATAAAAAATATTACAACATGGCCAATCTAATGACCAGGAAGAAATTTATCATGCTATTTCCACAAAGTAAGGCTGAGTAGAGCCTGAGCAAAGCCCAATAGTAGAGATAGCAAGAAAGAATAAGTTGAATCTAACAAAGCCTAAAATTAGCTGTATATGTTATACATCAATGAAAAGACTTTTTAATCCATGTGAAACACTGGTATCCAAGACACAGAAATATATATAAATGTTCTACAAGCTAAAGATGCGAGTGGATAGTACAGAAAAGGATTCAGAAATGGCCAGTAAACATGAAAAAAGTGGTCAATCTTACTACTAGCTAATAATTAAGAAAAAGAAGGCTAAAACAATGTTAAGAAAAAGCTTTATACCTGTCAAGTTAATCTTTGAATTAATCTTAGAATACAAAGCGGGTAACCTAGAATACTCCTGGTGAGAGTACAGAATGACCAGAAATCTCATAGAGTGACTCAATGTCATCAATAAAGTAGGGTACATCCTTCATCTGTATCTCTGCTGCCTAGCAACCCTAGGACCAGTAGACCACTGGCATCTGTGAGGAACTCAAGCTCAGCAAAGGTGCATCAGAAGACAGGTACAGGATGCTCATTTCCACATTCCTTGTAAAAGAGGAAACTAGAAACAAACTAAATGAACCAAAAACATGCAATAGAGAAGATCAACAAGGCCAAAAAAAGTGGAGTTCTGAAAAGACTGCTAGAACTGACAAGTCTTCCATGAAATGAGTCAGGGGTGTGTGTGTGTGTGTGTGTGTGTGTGTGTGTGTGTGAGAGAGAGAGAGAGAGAGAGAGAGACAGAGACAGAGAGAGACAGCCAGAGAGAGAGACACAGAGAGAGAGAGAGAGGAAGAGAATATAGACAGAGCAAGAGACTAAAAATCAACCTCATGGTGAAATGACAGATTGCCAACATATATGAGACTTCTAATGTAGTGGGTAACTTCCCAGAAAACAAAATTTGCTCAAGAAAAGAGTAAGACATTTATATAAATCCCTTTACTGTTAAGAAACTGAGCCAATGGATGACAACTTTCCCATAAAGAAAATTCACAACCCAGACAATCGACCTGGACAGTGCTCAAGGTGGGGTGGGGAAAGGGTTCAGTCTTAGATCGCAGGCTGCTCAGGAGTAGGTCTTGTGTGTCTGTGTCAGCACAGACCAGAGGGAAAAAGAAGGAAGATGCCAAGAGGAGAGTGCATTTGCATAAAGAAGAAGGGCTAGAAACCTGTACAGCATTATACAAGCACAGCAACAGGAACAGACAGAGGCAGCCACGTGTTGGGAAAGGTGCAATGGCATTTCCAGGTGGCGACTGTATAATCTGTAATTATTGGACCACTTTCAGAGAATAGCCATTCAAACAAGTTAATTAATGTGGGGGGATACCCTGAAAAGAAGGGTAACTGGAAGGGGGTACAAATAATAGGATATTACAAAGATGATAACCATAAAGCTTCAAATAACAAATAATTAGTGGGAGAACATTATCAATAGCTAAAACTAACAAATATTAGACACACAAATCTCTTTACCAATCTGCCTTTAAAAATGCAACTTAACCTAGAAAAAAATAAGTGGAATCCTGGAAAGAGGAGAAAAACTATCAATAGAAATTTTTTTACCTTATACCACTTTATGGAATCCAGAAGGCAACTGTCTGGAAAGTACAGGTGACATCGGAGACTGCCCGAGTTTCCAGTGTATAATATTTGACTGTACTCATTTGATAAGCTCGGCAAACTGCTTCCGGAGCTGACACACGAGTAGTTTTTGACAACAGTGAGGTTGACATGTACTCTGTAGCAACTCTTGGTGTTCCTGTAAGAAAAGACCAGATTGAAAGCCCATACACTCTTAAGCAGTCAAAAAACCAAGGTATTCTGTTTCTCTTTGTGCCATTTCAAATCACTTTCAAGGCACAGTACACACCACATACCTCACACAAGACAACACACACCTACAACTCATCCATTAGGAGGAGACATGTGGATTTTCTACAGGAGTGAAAAGGGCAGTGCCTTAGCCAAGAGATCAAAATGAACACGGCCAGCTAGATTTATGGAACCAAATACAATACATGATCCTGTATTCTGTACTGGAAAGAAAAAAGTTACATGAGTCATTGAGGGAAACATTAATACAACTAAAATATAAACTATAGATTAAAGTATTGTCTGATGGCTGAATTTCCTGGATTTGATTACTACACCATGATCAGGTAAGAGAATATTCTAGTTGATAGGAAGGATACATTGAATTCTTAAGTAGTAAAATAGGTATGATATGTACAAATGAAATAGTTTCAGATGAAATAAATAGATGCACATATATGGAGACAGAAAATTATGTGGAAAACTTACTTTAAAATGAAGATCTAGGTAAAGGAAAGACAGGAGCTCACTATATTATTTCTCAAATTTTATGTAAACGTGAAATTACTTTAAAGTAGAAATATACAATTTTCTGAATATGTGTCATACCTGGATGTTAAAGATCTGGGAGAATCCATGCTCAGTTTCTTCCATGGCAGAAGGTCTAATGGTCTAATGGCTGTGAGCAATTTTTCTTCATTTCAGAGTTCCCAGATTTAAATATTTTAAACCCATTTCTGACATGCAAGTGGATTTCTTGATATATGATCTCCAACTCCAGTTAATGATTCACAGTCCACCAGTGATGGTGAACCTATGGCATGTGTGCCACAACAGTTATTTGTTATCATTGAAAGTTCTAAAAGGTTACCCATCACTTGCCTAGACTGTATCAGAAGAGTGTAGCCTTCACAATGGACCACTACTGATCAACACAGAGGACTGGCTACTCTTTGCTTCTGCACACTCGGTGAGTCATTCTGCACACCAAGTCTGCCCCATGGATGAAAGCCAGGAAGCTGGCATGACTCCAAGTGGGACACAGGCCCTTCTGGGACACAGAAATGGACCTTCTGGGCCCAAAATAAGAGAGGGAGAATGGCATAGCTACTTCACCCAGAAGCTCAGTGTATCTCTACTTCATCTCTATCAGGCCAGGATTGCTTCCATTTTACAGATAAGAAAACCAAGGCTCACAGAGGTCAAATAAGTTAAGGTCATGCATATTATTAGTATGGCAGAGTCACAAATTGTGGCTCTCTGGCCAAATTTAGTCCACATATTTGTTTTATCCAGGTGTCACAGAGTTTTACAAAGTTGAATAGTTAAACACACACACACACACACACACACACACAATCAAGCAGACAGCTACCCTGGCAGGACTCATGCTTTCCAGTTAACCAGTCCCCTCCTGGCTCATCTGTCTCCCACTGGCTTTACTTCTAATATCCAAAAACTGGAAGTGGCTGAAAGGCCCAGCAAGCACTGACATCACCTCCTAGCACAGGACCTGGCATGGGTTTGAGCTTGCACCATGCTTACTAATTGCAGAATCCTTATGAAAATGTTCCCAAGAAGCCTGACTCCTCCCTGTGTGTGCCACCATTGCTGACACTGCCATTCCCAGAGAGTTGGCAGTAGGTGCATTGGTATAAACACACTTTGTAAGCTGGTCCACCCTGAAGCAAAATTTCAATGGGAAAAGATGCATTTCATGTTCCAAAAATGGCTTACAAATCTATTTAAAATAGATTTAAATCTATCACCTATTTAAGCCATTTCAAATGTGTTCATTAGAAATCATTTTATCACAATTATAAATCTATGCCATGTTGTCTCACTGCGTTTTCTAGATTCATGACAGACGCTCTTAAAAGACAGATATATAGAGAGATGGATTTCATTCTATTTTAGATGAGGAACTTACTTTATAACACACTGGTACATCCCTGAGTCCTCCAAACTCAGAGGAAGAATCAAAATCCAGGTGTGCTCCTGGTGAATTCTCCAAGTTATGTTTCTGGACAAGGAGATGTTGCGAGGTGCTTTGTACCAGGTCACATTCACATCCCCAAATGTCAGGGGTGGGTGTGTGCAATTAAAAGCAAAGGGCTGGTTGACTGCAAGGACCTCATTTGCCATTCTAACATCCTTGCAGGCACCTAGGAACAGAAGGATAAAACAAGCATAATTAGCCAGGAAAGAAAACTCTGATGTTTTCATCATTTTAACAAACTCCTCTTCAATTTTCTAGCCAAAGTATGATTTTCCCTGGGATTCTCTTTAGCTGGGAGTGAAGCAGAACTCCACGTTCCAGAACATATCCACGAGGGATAACCTTGAGCCATTTGTAGGAAAATGGATGCACCTTGAGACCACAACATTAAGTGACATGAATCAGACACAGAAGCTTAAATTTCACATGGTTTCTCGTCCATGAGAAACTCAAAGAATAAAGAGCAAAATAAAAGATAGATAATTTTTCCTACAAATGGCTCAAAGTTATCCCTTTTTATGGCAGAGCAGTGCTCCACTGTGTGTAAGCACCACACTTTCTTTATCCATCCATCGGTTGATGGACATACAGGCTGCTTCCAAGATTTAGCTATTATGAGTTGTGCTGCTATAAACACGGGTATGCACACACCTGGATCGAATGGAATTTCTATTTTTAGTCTTTCGTGAAATCTCCACCCTCCATCCCTCTCCTCCCCAGAATAAAGGAGAGCGCCTAGTCCTGTTTTCTTCCTGCTCAGCCCCCTGTTTTTCTGCCTTAATGAAAAGGCTTTTTTCATCCTCAACTCGGTTATTTCCAAATTTGCTCCGTTCTACCAGGTTGCTTAGTTTGTCTTAGAACTGCGATCTGTTGACGGTTTCTTTACTTTATCCTGGATCATAAAATAGACTTTTATCGCATGAAGCAGACAGTTCCTTATAATCTGAGCACTTGGCTTGACGTCAAAGCTCTGCGGTGGGGCTGAGCAGCAGAGAGCTTGGGCCGGAAAGGTGCCGATCCCGCCCGGCCATCCGGGGAGGATCACAGTGGGGACCAGAGGATGCTGGGGTCAGGGTCCCCCCCCCCCCGCCCCGCACCTACCTGTCAGGACCAGGAGCCTGAGCGCCAGCGCCAGTGCCAGCGCGCGGAGCAGCTCGGCCGGCATCTGCATCTCGGGCTGCGGGCTGCGGGCTGCGGGAAGAAAGCACGGGGTGGGCGGGACGGGGCGGCACCGAGTCTGGGGATCCGGACCAGTACCTGACCTCGCCCTCTTGGTGAGGAGCCCCTGCCTCGGCCCCACGGTGGCCCAAAGCCCGGCGCTTTCGCTGCCCGCGCTCAGTCAGGGCTCACGGAGGGGACTGGGGCGGGGAGAGGGCGCGGCGACGTGGCCCTGTGGCGGCCCTGAGTGCCACCCGGCTGGGAGGTTGGGGCGTCCTGCCCCCCACCGCAACCCCCGACCCAGGGACCGTCCCCGCCCGGCGCACCTGCTGCCTCAGGACCCGCCAAGCCTGGCGGTCTAACCCGGAACCCCAGACCCCCTGCTCAATGGCAGATGCCAGCTCAAACACCTCTGGCAAGGCCCGGCAGAAAAACGGGGAGGAGGCCCAGGGCCACCAACCTGGGTGTGGCCCAGGTGGAGTAGAGCCCGAGGTGGCTCCGCAGTCCCTTCAGTCCTGGTCCCCAGCCGCCTCGCACTCGTGGCCCTCTCTCTGCGATCCCGGGGAGACGGAGACGCTGGCAGGGCATTTCCAGGCCTGGGTGTTTCTGCTCCCTGTGGGAGAGGGCGGAGACCTACCTGCCCTAGTGAAGCCCGGGAAGGAGCCGGGCACTCGTCGCAGGAAGAAGAGAGTGAAAATTTTTTTCCTGATTTCCTGGCAGCTCACAAGTTCTTCACGATCATCAAGAATGTCTACTTAAATCCATTCCAGATAGTCCCTATAAATAAATACTCGTTGCTTTCCAAGTCCCATGGGAGCAGTTAGTTCCGGTCCTACACTGGCCGAGATGGAAAGTCCCCAAAGTGGAAGTCATCCTAAAGGGCTTCTGAGGAGTGTTTTAATCCTGCTAAGTCATGTTCCTTGACCTCTGTGAGGCAGACATCCCATAGTGATCCTCCCAGGTGAGACTGTTGTCTCCTAGGACCACATCTGAGGGACCTGCTTGGAGTATCCCAGGGGGCACTGAGAAGCCAGGGAGGAGGTCAGATGTGACCCCACTCAACCTGTGCTTAGCAAGGCCTCCCCAGGTGGTCTGCCTTTCAGTGGAGACAGGGACACCGAAACCACCACAGGGGCAGGGCTGGCTTTACCAGTGAGGCTTCCCGGGGTTGGCCAGTGGTTCATGAATTTCTACACTTTTAGTTGTGAGGATCTCCTAGTTTGTTTATGTGAGATGCACCTGTCCATATTACTATGTTGGAGAATTCAACATTTGCTTTCTGATTTATTTTAAAGAATAACAATAACCCCTTTACACGTTCACATAAGTATCATACAATTTACCAAAAGTAACTAACACTTTCTAAAGCAGACTTGCTGAGAAAAGTGGGAGTGGCCTAGACTTTGGCAAATCTTGTGAATGTTCATCTTTAACAGAAGATTACATTGATTCCCATTCCTCCTGCTGCACTCCTTCTCTTATGACAATGTGTCACAGCATCTATGGCAAAAGCCACATACTCCAGGGAGAATACAAAGGGCTCAAAAGGACTTAATGTGGTTATGGAAAGTTTTGGTTTCACGGACATCTTTTGACAGTGCCTTGGGGGTTTCTAGGGCTGCCACATTCTGAGGACCTCCTTGTTAAACTGTAAGTGGAGATCAATTATTTTCCCATAACATCAGCACTAAATAAGGATTTTTTTATACATACTCATTCTTCCGGGTTTATATCCCTACCCCTAATGAAAGCGTTACTATAAAAATGTGATTCACAAATTATTGCTATGAAGTTTTTGAAGGCTATTCTTTCCTTCTGTTTTTTGCTTTGTTGTTATTGCTTTTTTTTTCCTTTTATCTTTTTTTGAGACAGGGTCTCACTTTGTAGTTCAGGCTGGCCTTGAAATCACTATGAGGCCCCAGGCTAGCCTCAAATCCATGACAATCCTCCTGCCTCAGCCTCCTGAGTGCTGGAATTACAGGCATGTGCCACCACATCAGGCTTTTGAAGGGTATTTCTGAAACCTTTTATTATGCTACCATTTTCACCTGATGAATGCATGTTTTTGTATCTTGTCTTGTTTTTCTAGTTAGAAGTCTGATATGCATGTCAAATCCAGTTGGAATAGTTCCCCCAAAGCTGGTGAAGGTAAGACAGGCCATCCCAGGTCCTCCCAGGCCCACCCAGAGCCCAGCAGCACTGGTTCTTACTGAATGTTACTGACATTGCACTTTGTTAGTGACTCTGTGGGCCTGAAACTTACTCCTCCAGGGATGGTCTCCACACCCAATGCATTTTCTGATGGATAGAAAAGGAATCCTTTGACTTTGAACACATAAAAGATTTGGGGATTAAAAGATTTGGGGATTTAAAGCTTTGGATTTAAAAACATGTTAATCAAGTCAGACACAGAAAAGTAAGTATTGCATGTTTCTTCAACAACAACAAAAAAAAGAGTTACCCTGAGTGTAGAACAGTGACTACAGGTGGTAGCAGACCAGAGAAAGGCTGGATTTGATCCATGGGTGCAGTATGCATTTATTGAAGTATCAAACTAAACTCCATTAATGTGTAGCATTAGTGCATATTAATAACAAACCCTTTTAACTAAGGCAAAATTAAAGATTAAAAAACCACAATAGAAACTATAACATTTACTGCAGGTTATCTGTTACCCTGAGAAATCCCAGAAACAGGATGGCAGTGTTGGCTAAAGAGAAAAGGGATGGAAGGGATTCAGATGAAATTTATTCACAGAGGCTCCCAGGGGGCAAGTTCAGGTTTGCTTTGCTATGGCCACACCACATGGAGCACTGCTTAATGCTAACACTTGCTGAACTCTATCACTCCAAAACTCATTCTTTTCCTTTTAAGAATTTTCTTTTGAAGTAAGCATCTTATCATGCAATGTCAAGAGCTACACAATTCGAAATGATCCTAAGCTATGTAAGAAAGACCCAGCATCCGAAACAGGGTCCTCCACGCTTCCTGAATACCTGGTTCCCACTCCTCAACTCCTTACTACTTTCAACTGAGGGTTCAACACACTGGTGTGTGTGTATGTGTGTGTTTGTATCCATTAAGTAATATAAGGTGCTTTTCTGTAGACTTTTGAGTCTTCAAATCAAAAGTATCCACATTGCGTATTCATATGATTTGCATTTGCACAACATTACATTTTTGAGATTTGGCATTGTGAGAGTGCTATTCTAGTTGACTCAAACTCACAGCGGTCCCCATCATATGAATACACCAGAAGTTATGTGTCTATTTTCTTTGGACTTTTAGGTTGTTCCAATTGTGTATTTTGTTCTTATAAACAGTGCTGCTGTGTGATTCTTGTAATGTCCTCTTGTGTGGGTATTCAAGTGCGGTTGAGGGATTACTGGATACATGCATCTTCAACTGTTAGCAAATTCCTAATTTTTTCCATAGTGGTTTTCTTTAAAGGAGAGGTGTTTCATTGCTTCATATTATTGCCAATATTTAACAAGGTCAGAATTTTAAATACTGCACATTTTGCCAGTCTGGTGGTGGAAAGCTATCTTGGGATTTTTCCACTTCCTAATTAGGAATAAATTATGGCCTGTGGTCACCAGCCACCTACACATTCTCCTCTTCAAATTTCTTTTCATGTGCTTCTTCTTTTTACCTACTTGGTTTTTTTATCATCCACCAGCACTCCTTGTCTTTGCAAAGGGAATATCTCAGTCCTTTAAGCCATTATTCACTTGCTATAAGTACTTGACACTTTCTACTGGTTTATGATTTTTAGGATGTAAATCACCTTACTCTAGAGACTGGTCCCTCTTTCTGTTAGCAGGCAAGCCCACACATTCTTGTGTGCTGGACACACTCATTAATTCTGATTGACTGAATTTCTTTCAGTCTGTGTGATCCTCAGACCAAGATGTGATGCATATACAGAGAGTAACTGTATCAAAGATTTCATATAAAATGTATTTTTACAGAATGAATAGTACATTTTATTTATTCTAACTGAACATCTGATGAGTTTTCACTGGCTGTAACCTGCTGGTAAAGTTTCCCAGTGGACAATGGAGCAGAATGTGTTCACATGCACTGGTCAAACGTTCTAACCCTAGCATTGGGCTGAGGTGCGATCTCTACCAAGATCTTTGTACCTTTAAAGCCCTTCCATTCTCCCATTTCCTTTCTGTGGGATTGAAAGACATGGCAGCAGCTGGGCAGTAGGTTTTGATTGTTGGGGTGAAATGAACTTCTGGAGCTAGAAGTAGTGGGAGACAAGAGGGTAGTGCTAAGAGTACTCAGTTCCTGAAGTTTTCAGCCTGACTCCTCTATCCAGCCCCACTCACTGGTTCATTGATTCACTCTACCCTCAAGCCCTAGCCCAGGTCCAGCTGTCCAGCCCATGTCCAGCTGTCCAGCCCAGGTAATATACTCACTGCTGGAAACATAGCAGGAGAGAAGATGCCCTGTAGAGCTCAGTTATCCTACCATCTTGAAAATAAGAACATTTGATTTTAGGTTGATGAGAACCATGTACACATCAGACATTGTGAATGGTGGGATGATAAAGAAGGTGTCCCTACAAGAGCAGGACTGTGGGGTCCCAGCAGCAATGGGAACCCACCAAGTAGATATCTAGGGAAGGAGAGTTTCATGGGCAAGGAGCAGCTGGTGCAAAATCTCAGAAGGAGGAAAGAATTCAGAAATTTCAAAATAATTGAAATAAAACCAGTGTGACCAGAATGTAGGAAATAAGAGGGTGAGTCAGAGAACTGAAGCTATAAAGATAGACAAGAGCTAGATCAGACAAGGAAAACAGGAAGGTTGGATTTATGCTACAGTCAAAATCTATGAGAAAATTTAAAGCAGAAAAATATAATCTTTTATTATGTAAATGCTACCTGTCTTGGTTACTTTTTTTGCATCCAACACCCAAAGTTAAAGGAGGAAAGGTTTATTTAGCACTCAGTTTGTGTAGAGGTTTAAGTTCATAGTTTGCTGGATCCAAGGCAGGGTGCTATGGCAGACAGGTATACCAGAGAAGAAACAGTTCATGGTGGGCAAAAGGTGGGAAGGCAGCAAAGCAGTGAAGTAGCGGGGAAGCAAGCAGCAAGTTGATAGAGAAAACTTAAACTATAGGTTAGTTATTAAGGTAGCTGAAGTAGAATAAGTAATCCATTCCTTTAAGATTTACCTTTCCCGTAACTCTTATTGTTTAAAGTGATGGCTAACTGAAACTTTGACCTGTAACCTAACTGTAGATAACATTTAATCTGGAGAAAAGCAAAGTAGAAATGTTTGGGTAGTTTACAGTGTATGTGTTTTAGGCGCCATCTGTTTGTTATATGTCTGTGACTATAACCATTAACAGGAACTAGTTGTAAAAGAGAAACAGAAATTTTACTGACTAAGACCACCAGAAATGAGGTAATGGCTAAAAGAAGATGTAAAAGGAAATGTTAAAACAAAGGACGGGGCGGACATTGATCAGACGAGTTTCTGGCAGTCCCCCTTGCTAGCGAGTAAGGGCTTTGTTTTTTTACCCAACTTCTGTGTCTCCGTACATTTCTTTCCGCGATTCTGGAACAAAGTGACAAGTAACAAGAAAAGGCCCTCTTTTGGTCCCTTATATCCTAGCCAGGCTACCCATGGGCAGCACTCACACCCTGGGTGGGGCAGCCTTAATCTTAGCATGGTACTATGAGTCAATCCCAGCATCACACCCTTGATCTCAACATCACACACCCTAGATTCAGCCACCTCCAAAATCTCCCATGTATGACTGCATGAGGCTTTGAAGGGACATCTTCCACTTCTCATAATTTTTCCTTTCCCTTCTTTCCTTTCCCCTACCCCTCCCACTTCCCCTACTTGAGGGGACATCTTGATATAAGCCAAAACACTACCTTCACCACTAAAGCCCACAAAAATGGCTAAAATCATAAAAATGGACAATTCCAAAGACGGTGAGAATGTGTAACACCTGGCTCTCTCATTTACAGCTGGTGAGAGCACAAATTAACCCAAGCACTTAGGAAAGTCATTTGATGTTATCTACTAAAGTGAACACTACAATGACCTGTAAGTTGTGAGGTTAAAGGTACCTTTTTCTTCTTTATGCATTTCAAAAATTTCTCCATTGTTGCAAACTAATGTTGCCTCTATAATTCAAAAATGTATATTTTCTACTTTATGTTTAAAAAGAACATTTGAATTGCAATAATCAACTCACAAGGGAATTGCTTCATTAACTGCTCACTGTCCTTCCTCTCACATCTGTCCCTGCTATCTAATCCCACTCACAGAAGTGCCCAGTCACCTTGACTCTAGGGCCTGGTCCTCCTAATCAACAGCCTGCAACACCTCCTGCAGACCTCCTCCAAAGGCTAAACCCAAAATACTTCAGTTAGGGACTTCAACTCTTCATCACATGAGTTTGTCTCTTGGACAACTTTCTCTTCAACATTACCCTCTGACTGGACTTACGTTTTTCTTTCTTTGTGATTTCCTCAATGTGACTTCTGGTACCTACCTAGTGTTTCTGTATTGTTCTAATTTTAGTGTATGTGCTGCTGAAGTGAGCACTGCCTAGTGTTTCTAAAAGGATCTTAGTAAGCTTGAGAGCAAATGTGTATTCCTTGTGCTTTGGAAATTGGAGGATATGGAGTCCAGTATTAAGAAACACAAGAATTTAGAAGCAATCAGGCAGGATTTAATAGCAAAAGCTTTGAAAGCAAAGCAGAAGCCAGAGTCTGAGGGAGGTGAGCTGAGTCAGCAAGAGATTTGGCTGAGGAGAGAAAGGGGTGCAGTGGCCAGGGTGAAACTAACCACAAGTGGGTCCCACATAGTGAGGCAGGAAGTTAGACATTGGTGGGCCTGAGGGACAAATGGGTGTGTGTTTATATGTGTGTGCGTGTGTGCATACACAAAATAGTGTGCACTGCAGGTGAGTAAAGAAACAGAGACATCAATATGTAACATACTTATAATCACTTGTTAGGTTTCAGACCCAAAGTGACCCCACAGAGCACCTGGCCATCTAGATCCAAAACAGGGCAGATTGCATCCCTGGCTGCCACAGCCTGTAGCCCAATGATATCAGGAAAGAAAAGGTTCTTCAAAGACCCTCCAGCCTTGGGCTGGGCCTGGTTTAAATGAAGAACTTCTCTTTGTAAGTTTTTTTTTTACATGATTAAAGTCCCTGAGGAAACACTACCCATCTAAAAAGGACAGGAAGACATTTTACAATTCCAAAGTAATTGCTAAGTAAAATGTTGATAAGCATCATAATGATCCTAGTTCTCTGAACCCCAGGAATAACTTCTGGGTACATAAAAGCTACTCGACTCACACTAAATGTAGATGCCCTCATGAAACTGTCCATCTTCTCACTTGAAATTGTTACTCTATCTATATCCATTTAACAATAAATTCTGCCTATATCTCTTCATGGCCACCTATGTGTCTTGATTGAATTCTTTCATCAAGAGTACCAAGAACCCAGGACCAAGGAAGTAAGGGGCCTGTTCCTTGCCGCATCAGGACCCAGCTTCCAGGTGACAACATGGCTTATGAAAACTGCAATACCTTGTCACTAAAGTCTGAGTGATCTAATTCCCAGGACAAATTGAATAAAAGGAGAACCAAGGGACCCTGTGGAATGATTATCAGCAATGCCCTTCCCAGAACCAGATGTAAAACCAAATGATTTGGGGGATCATTTCCAGATCAAAGAATCTATGACAAGCCAGCTTCATAAATTAGCTTTATGAGTAAATTAACTCTACTTCCCTTAGGGAGCCCTGGAGCTGTCAAGGGGATCCTGCCAGTCTGGATTCAAGCAGTACAGGCTCAACTGGTCTAACTGCTGCAGATCTGGGAGTCAGCTGTGCTAATGATTGGGCTCAGATTTAAAGTGAACAGATAGGATTTGCTGCCTTCCCCAGAGGAACCCTGAGCACTGCAGGGTAAGATGAGCATGGTTTTGTTTGAAAGGTCATTTTAAATAGTACCTATTTCCTGTAGTTCTTTCCCTCCTTCAGACTAGACTCCCTTCTCTCTCTTTCGCTCTCTCCCCGCTTTTATACTTTGTTTATGAAACAAATATTATTACACCTCCCAAATCCCCCTCCAACTTGTTTTCTCCTATGTATTTTTTCATGTGCACTGTTTCCTATTTTACAAATTCCTGCCCCTGCAGGGTTTATCTGTGTGCTTCATTTTAGTAAAAGGGAAAGAACTTTTCACTCCATCTGAACTCAAGCAGTAGAACTGAGAAAAATATATGTGGAGGTTCTATCCAGTACTGGGCAGAGGCTTTCTACCTAGAAACACCTTTGAGAGTAGGAAGTCCTGTTTACAGACTGCACAACTAGCTTCAAAGCAATGAAGAGGGGCGTTTTGTTTCAAAATTGTGGCAACTCAGGAACTTACAAATCAGATCTTCCCATCAGATGAGATTCCTATGGAGAAATCATTCAGAGACCCACCGCCCCACATAAAGCTATTTTGCATTTATTCTTGGAAATTTATTTGATACGAGAGCAGAAAATATAACTTTTTAGTGGCAGTTAGGATTGATTCTTCTAACAATTTGCTAAAAACCACATTAACTGGTAAAGGAACAAAAACATGGCGGAGAGCCCTTGGAATTCTTTGGATGAGACATTTTGCCTAGGCAAATTTTCTGGATAGCTAATTCCTAAATTTTTCTACGTTCTTGCCTTGTTAATTTTTTGATTTTTTTTTTTTTTTTTTTTTTTTTTAACCAGGGATCAAACTCGGGACCTTGCGCTTGTAAGGCAGGTGGCGGAACCACTGAGCTAAATCCCCGGCCCTTGCCTTGTTAATTTTTATTGGGTATTTAGGGAAACATTGATCAGGAATATGTTAAACATATTTGTCTTGATTTACACCCCTTCACCTCTGGGGCTGCAGAGGGGCTGAGAGCTCAGCAGAGCCCAGGCTTCAACATCATACATATTATACACCTCCATGTCAGATGCTTTGACTCTGTTTTTAGGATCTCTTAGGGTTTGTTTCCAGCCACATCCTTGTTTTTAACTCTTTTCAAGCCACTCTATTGCCATATTCTAGTAGGACTCAAGAGAACCAAGTTTATTGATCGTATAGTTATGAACAAAGCTACTATTTTTTTCATTTATTTCTTTATTTGCAATACTGGGAATTGAACCCAGGGCCTTAGCACTAAACCTCAGCCTTAATTATTGATTGATTGATTGATTGATTGAGATGGGGTCTGACTAAGTCACTAAGTCACCCAGGCTAACCTGGAACTTGTGATCCTTCTGCCTCAGCCTCCCAACATGCTGAGATCACACATTTATACCACCATAACCCAGGTAAAGCTACCATTTTTTGAAGCCCAACATTAGGCTAGGCCTGTGGAAATATATGGAGTCTTTCCAATCCTTGCACAGCTCTATGGATTAGGTAATATACCCAGTAAGGAAACTGGGCCTCAGAGTTGGTGTAAGGTTTCCCATCACGTGGAGAGGAGGCAGCACCTCCAGGGCTTTCTGAGGCTCTTGGCCCACCTGCCGCTTCCCCTATCCCAGGCACTGGCAGGGCCTCCTGCCCTTTGCAGGTGCTGGCATGGGGGAAGGGGTGGCACTGAGCAGCTCAAGCGCTCTGACCAGAAGAGCTCACCAGCTTGAACTCAAGCATTCTGTACACTGAGTTTGCCAATTTTGTCCAACTCCTGGGTCAGCAGAAAAGATGCACAGAAGGCTCTTGTAAAATGTGAACGTCTATACATACGTGGCCCTTTCCATGGGGAGGGGCAGCTAAAAGGCCCATAATAGTGAGACTCACAGGACATTTGAGTGAGCAAATGGAATGCAGATGAGGCTATACTGTTCTAAGGAAACCAGGGCACACTGTCAGGCCAGTGACGCCCAAACCCAGCCCCTTGTCCCTGTCCCCGCCCCCAAAAACCGTCCACACCCACATCCTACATCCAGCCTGGCCTGGAAGTGTCCAGATCATACTGTGGAAAGGACAGGCAGAGAAATGGGTTCCCAACAATATTCAACACCGGGTGTCACAGTTTTATTGGAAAACAAGTAGTCTATGGAAGATACACACTGTATGGGAATTTGGTGTTTTAAGATACAAAAATACTTGGCATCTGTGAAAAATTATACAAACAAGTTTTGTTTTTTAAAAACCCTTCATTGTTAACCAGTACAAACATAATTTATCAAAAATGTCATTTTATTTTTTTTCATATTTTTTCTTTTCCCTTCTTTCCTTTCCCCTATCCCTCCCATTTCCCCTATTCCTTTAGATCTTTTCTTCCTATTTCACAATATCAATTATACATTTAAGGAAAAAAAATGGAAACAAATTATTTGTAAATAGGGAAGGGTATAGGGGGTGAAGGGAGGGCCGGGGAATGGGGAAAAAATAAGAACCAAGATACATCATGTAAAGGTACAAGATCCCAATGACGAATGTAACTGTATACCTAAAATGTACCAATAAATAAACTTAATTAATAAAAAAGTCATTTTAAAAACGGCTCAATACTTTTTCTTGTATTGCAAGTAAAATTTTTTTAAAAGGTAGAAGAGAAAATATAAGTTCTGCTAAGCCAGTTTAACCACTAGTAATTAAATGCTTCATTGGATTTCCAAACATTTCTTCAACTCTTCGGCTGACTTTTTAGAAAATACCATCAGAAAGTGCAATATAAAATCCAACTAATGGGAAAAGCATGAAAGGAAGATCTTTTAAAAGGTAGTTTTAGGGCCAGGGATTTAGCTCAGTGGTTCCACTGCTTGCCTCACAAGCACAAGGACCCAAGTTCGATCCCTGGTACCAAAAAAAAAAAAAGGGTAGTTTTATTTCTGTTTTTGTTTTTGAGGGATGATAACTCCAAGAAAATTCACAGGGCAGAAATGGAGCTTCATTCTCAGGAATCGCCCGATGCTGAACAATACATGTTTGAGATCCTTCACCCAGGCTGATCACTTGATTCTTGTCCTTGCCTAAACCCCAGATGCTAGGCTTTCATAATTATTGGCTGGCCCCATGTCCCCTTACTCTCTGGCCAATTTTGTCCCCAGTTCTAACCTTCTAAAACCGTGTGTGAGTCTTCTGATAAGTAGTTCATGAACTTGACTTCTTCGAGTTCACGTAACTAGAGTTGCTCTCATTACCCTCAGGATTGTCACATTTTAAAAAATAATTTACTTCTACACCTAAAATCCCAATTTGCTTTTAATTTTAATTGGCTAAGAAATAGTTACCTTTAGGCCTTTTAGGGAAAGAATATATAAAAATAAAAAGGCTCTTCATAAAACCTAAACATTTTCATAAATTCCAACATGTAAAAGTTTCAAAATTTTTTTTCCATAAAAACATTCCTGGGCTCTGATACCTCCTGGGAAATGACCATTTCTTCTCACATGAGCACTAAAGTGCAGGGAAGGAACAGTTAATGGTTGGAAATCAAGTATTCAGAGCACTAGATGAGAAGCCAGAGAGGAAGGCCCAAGTCCTTGAGCCAGTGGAAATGAGTTTTTTTGATTGTTTGTTTAAACATAGGTCACTTTTTTATATATATAAAATTAGAATACTTAAAAAATTAAATACAATTACTAGAAAATATTTTTAAACAGTGAGCCACTACAGAAATCTATGTTATATGTGCAAATTGTTTGTGGAAGGAAATGAAGGACAGAGAGAGGCCCCCACATCCCCTGCTAGAGTGAGAGCCACCGGGTAGCACTAGCAGAGGGATAGGAGGGACAATGGGATGTCTTGAAGGGAAGCCTGCTGGGTCTACAGTGCTGAAGTCAAAGCGCCCACATTTCGGTAGACTCCTGGTCAGCTGGAGCCCATGCAAGGAACAGTTCCATTCACCACACCAAGGGGCAGATGCAAAGCCCACAGCTCAGCTGGGGCTCATGGGCAGGTTGGTGGGGGGAAGCTGGTAAGGATGGGACAGAGAAGCTGGGGGTGGGTGACACTAGGGGTGGGGTGACACTGGTAGTGGGACAGTCTGTCCCTGACTCCTCAGCTGAGCATCACAGGGGTGTCAACAGGGACCAGGAGGCAAGAGAGTGCTGTACTTAGTGACACAGCAGAGGGAGGAAGCCCCTGCAGAGACGTCTTTGCAAAGAAACAAGGAGCCAAGTGAAATGTGCAAGAAGAAGGAAGGACAGGCTTTTGTTGGCTCTGGGGAGGGCAGGAGGAAGAGTGGAGGAGGAGGTTAGACCCAGCCACCACCACTTTCAGATCCTTTCTCTTCTGAAGAAAGCGGTGGTGATTTCACAACCTTGGGATCCTGGAAAATCCCTTTTTCACTGAAATGACAGTTTTCACCACTGTGCATAAAATCTGGTCTTGGAAACTGACTGTTGGCTCTGGACGAGTATGGAAAATGTAAAGCATGGAAAGTTCTCCAAGAACACATTTGCCTTCCTCCACGAGCTAAGAGTCACACTTCACCAACAGCATGGCCCAGGACAGCAACTCAGGCCCAGTGATCCTGCAATGTCCCCAGTGTGGCTGCGGATAACTTCATAAATCTGTGTCCAGAGGGCAGCCCTGCCCTGCATGCTTTTTCTTCCAGTTTTCCATCATTTTGGCAACTTGGGCACCTGGAGAAGGAGAGGGCACTGCTCACCCTTCAACAAGGCCCACACCGCTGCTCTGAATCATGCTGGGCTGCTACTGTCACCAAGTCCTGCACCCTCAACAATCTGACTCCAGGTGACCCTGTGGACAAGGGACCAGACAGGTCCATCGCATGACCACAGAAGTTGGCAGGAGGTGCAGCCCATCCTGCAGCACCACAAGACAAGAGGCACCAAAGAACTCCTGGCCAGGCTGCTCCCAGCTACCTGAGCGGCAAATGAAGTTCTTTCTGCAGTGTCTCCACAGAGTCCTGCCTGCTGGGTTGGGGCAGTAACTGCTGTTGGGATGCAGGCGACAGTGGCAGGGCCGGCATATGGTACCTGATGTTCTTCCAGAACCTGGTCTTTGAAGATTGTCCTCCTTCTCTCAAGTCCCCTGACCATCGGATGACTCCATGTTTCTGCTTAATAAATTTAATGGACTCTGGCATTTTCTCATAGTCTTGGATTTTGTCCAGCTCGACCAGCACAACCTTGATTCCCTCCTTAATAAGGGCATTGTACATCACAATTTGCTCTTCAGACGAGTGACCCAGCCAGCTGAAACCTGCTATGTCTCTCACTAAAATGATGATCAGCCTTCTGCTCTGCCGTATGGTTTCATTAAAGACTTCAACAGTGTCTGGAAAACATGCAGAACAGAAATTACCATTAACTATTCATAATCACTCTCTCTAGAACCAAACCTTACAAGGTTCTTTCCACCCCATCCCCTGATGCTTTCTTTCTGGCTTGCTGTGGACCCTATAGGACTTTAGGCCCTTATAGACCAGCCCAACAGCTGACCCACAAAAGCTGAATTCCACGTAGAACTTAGGAAACGTTCAGGGGAAATTTTAAAAACTTGTTGTTAAGTCATCTGACTATAACACTTCCATTTTCTGTACCAGCTGAAAAGTAGCTATGGAATCCAGTCATTAAGCGTTCCAGAACAAATAAAAATACATTTAACTATTGATCTAACAAACTATAGGAGGAGTGAATTCTTTGCATTTAATAAGTGCAAAAATCATCACCAGAAATCACTGAAGAGATCAGTAAAACTGCGAAGTATGTGGAGCTAAGCACCACAGTCTGCTGGAAAGAATGATCCCAAATTTAGCAATTAGCTTTACAACAAGCCTCTTATTATTTTGCATTGTATACATACCTTCCCCAGCATAGTCATCCCTTCCATAAATGAACAGTTTATATCCCAACTGTTTTTCCAAGACCTCGGGCAAGATTTTAAATACAAAAATATCTGAGCTTGAGGTGAACCCTTCTGTGAGGGTCTTTGGATACAGTATATAAGCATCGTAGATCTTTCCATCTAAAGCTAAAGGGAAAATGTAATATATTTAGAACCAAGAAGGAAAATGAAAGATTATCAACATCAATATCACAAACATGCACTTCATATTGAACTATTAATCATTTTTTGTACAATGGCATGATTGAAGAAACAATATCAAAATAATTCGATAGCCTTTTCAAGTGTTCATCTCTCATGAGTTTTCTATTGACTTTTTTCTCTAGGAAGTTGCTCCTGTATTGCCATGCACATGCAGTCATTAGGAAAGGATCCTTATCTTCCTGTTCTTATCCTCTTCCCCAAACATCTTAACACCTAAATTCTGAATTCTACCTATTCTTCTTTTTTATGTATTATCATGATATTAAAGGTTTTGTTTCATTTTGTTTTTGCAATACTGGGACTTAAATCCAGGGCTGAGCTATAGCCCTACCCCTTTTCACTTATTCATTTTTATTTTGAGACAGGGTCTCACTCAATTACCCAGGCTGGACTCGAACTTATAATCCTCTTGCCTCAGTCTCCCAGAGTGCTGGGATTGCAGGCATGCACCACCACACCTGGCTTTTGCAAGGTTATAACAAAAGAGAAAGGGAAAGTCTCCCAGATGTATGAAAATCTAGTCATTTTTTTCACCTGAAAGTAGATCACAGGGTGATCTACACCCTACATGCCATAGAGTTTGTCCTCAACAATGACTTCTGAGCATTTCTCTATCCTGCCAATGTGATGCTAAAGAGGTAACTTAGAAAGCAATGACATTAGCCTAGCCATTTATGAAACTATTATTATGTCAAAGAAACTATAATTACATATAACAATAACTAGTATTCTTGTGGCTGTGACTACCTGTCATTTTAAACCTTCTGTAAAAACCCTAGTCACCTTCTACATGTCTTAACTATCCCCTCTCTCCAATGAGAAAATATTATAAAGAATACCAGATTATACCTTTTTGGGAGAGAAAATCATAGCAGGAATCTCTATACCAAAGCACAATGTCAACCTTGAAGATTTTATAGATGAAAACTGAGCATGTAATTATAAATGTCAGTGTGACAAATATTCCAATCACGTGCTTCTGGAAATCAGGGACTAAAGCAGAAAAGGGGAGAAATATGAGAACTGAAAAGAATTAAAACTTTGAGCATAGAAAATTGAACATATTCATTGCAGAAAAAGCATATTTGGGGTCAGCTTTGCATTTACACTATTGACTCATTATTATCACTGATAATGGATACTAATGCCCACAGCAATTGAGCATGGATACTATATAAAACTAAAGTGCATTCTATTAAGTTTCCACATAAGTAGTATAATATACAAAAACAGAAAAAGTACTGAGGACCATAGGTCAGAATCCTCCATGGTTCAACAGGAAGTCAAAATCACTCAAAAGCTACAATCATTCCCCGAGATAGGCGAGTTACTTAGAAAAATCCAAAACATGGAAGAAAGAAGCAGGGGTTAGGGAATCTTCCACATTCTCCTGCCACATCTTTCCAGTCATTCATCCAATGATCACAGAAGAGGAGAGAAGATGGGTAAGGGGGAGGAGGCTGCAGAGGAACCAAAAGGAGGAAGAAGAAGACTTTCTTAAAGTCAGGACGCATGAAGACATCCAGAAAGAACAATCTAAAAGTTTATCATTTTATTTTTCCCATTTAGATCTCTGCTCCATCTGGAATTGATTTTGGCACAAAGCAGAAATAAGATAGGCCATTTTCCAGACGGATGCACAATTGGCCCAGTGGAGGAGAGTTCATGTTTACGGTCTTCATTATTGTAGCTGCACACGAGATCATGATATCTGCAGGATAAATCCTCCAGATTTGTTGTTCTTATGCAAGACCACCTTGACTAGTCTTGGTCATCTACCTTTTCACATGACTTTCACATGGGTGCCTACAACCACACTGCCATACAAACACACACCCACACTTACACAAACACTGCTGTGATGTTGATTGGAACTTTTTGAATCTATAAACCCATTTGAGGATGACTGACATCATTATAATAATGAGTCTTTCAAAATAGGAACACTGTATATCCTTCTATTTAGACCTTTTCTGATGTATTTCAGATGATTTTTTATGCTACTGTAAAGGTTATTTTAAAATTAAATTTCTATTTGTATGTGATTGGTATTGAGACATGCATAGAAATTATACTATAGCAAGATCCTAGTGATCTTCTTAAATCCATTTCCCAATTGTGTTAGTTTGTCTCAAGGTTCTTTTAGATATTCTTTCAGGTTCGTATTTATGAATGTCTTATTTTTAATTCAGCTACAGATTATTTTTAAATATTTCACAAACATTTTCAACTCTGATTCTATCAATTCATGAAAAGCACCGACTTCTCACATCCTCTTTGTAAAGTAGATATGAAGGCTTCCCCTATGTAGTCATTAATTTAAAAGTATTCACTAGGTATCTACACCACAGAGGACTTAAGTTGCTACCAGCTCTAGAAATAGAGTAATCAGTAAGAGAAATGGCTGACATCATTAAAGAACTTACAATGAAGAAAAGTAAATGTAATAGATACTATGATGGGTGTAATACAGTGCCACCCCAGGGCATAAGCTTATATGTTTGGGCAGAGAGCTGGATTTAGGGAGGCAGCAGGACAGAGAAGCTGCCTAGAAGAGCACATCCTTCAGCTGAGAAGTGAAAGAGGATCAGAAACTGCCCAGGTGAAGAGGAAGTGAAGAGTGTTCCAGGCAGAGGAAATAGGATTGGAAACTGCAAAGTCGTGGAATCTTACAGTAATACCTCAGTTCACGAACGATTCTGTTCTCAAACAATTCACTTGGCAAACAGAAGCATTCTGAAAAATTTTGCTTCCATTCATGAACTCCACATTGGGGGATGAACAGAACACATAGTACGTGGCCATCTTCCCCAGAATCACAGAATAAATTAAGTTCGTGAACCCAGGTACCATTGTATTATGTAAAACAACAAAAAAATGAATTTCAAATAAATGGTTGTTTACCTGGATGTATAAACTTGATATATGCTGCCTCATTACTATGGCCGTTCCTGGCCACACAGGTAAATGGATGTAGATAAAACAGACTTTTGACTTCTGAAATGTTAAGCATTACGATGACTATATCTTTGTTTTTGGCTGAAGAATTTTCCAAACTGTGTGTGTGAGAGAGAGATATTGATTAAGTAACTACATCATAATTACATCAACTATGACTAAGACAAGTGTACCAGGTTTATTTCTATCTGTAATGTAAACTGCAGCTGAAATGACCACATATGCCAGCCTCAGACATAACAATGAGACTGTTCGCAACAACAGTCTGAGACTGTAGAGCCCAGAGATAATTGTGAGTAAAGGACTCACTAGTAGAGAAATCAAGTTGAAATTAGTGACTGCCAAGAGGAAAAATGGTAGGGAGTAGGTTGGGGTAGGTGACAAAGGGCTTTGGCGAGATGGTGAGAAGGAGGGAATAGTAAGTGTTATTTATAGATGGGTAACACAAAGTTATTATTTGACCCCAGCTATTGAGTCTTTTCTAAGGTACTTAAAATCATGGCAAGTAATTCAAGATAATTGCTTCCTTGGAATGTTCCAACATGCATGACTGAATTTGAGAGAAAGTTTTCTAAGCAGTATGGAATCTGCACCACAATAACATATATTTTTACCTTAAATGTACAAGCTCTCACCAATCCTGTGTAGCACACTTAATAGAAATAAAAATGAGCAGCTAAGGAATAATCAACTGCCATCTAACCTTACTACCAAGGTTACAAAAAACCCTGACATTGAATTTAATACTGAAACTGATTGGTGTACTTACTAATAATAGTCTTCTACCAGTATAGGATCATCAGAGTCAATGAATGACCCATTCCACTTCCAATAGACAGAGTCAGTATAATGGCCTGTGACATTACAGATCAACTGGATCTTGGATCCTGCAAAGCAATGCATTTTTGTTGTTTGTTTGTTTTTTTGGTACTGGGGCTCAAACTGAGGAACTTATCCTTGCAAAGCAGGTGCAGTGCCACTGAGCTAAATCCCTGGCCCTCAAAGCAATGTATTTTTAATCAAAAGATTAATTGACTTTTATGCTGGCCTATCTGTACAGCTAAATGGCTATTGAACAAAAGTTCTAATTATTAAAAGCTACAAGGAAAGAGGAAAAATGCCCTGAAACTCACCTCTGAGCAGTAACCACTATTAGGGACTTTCTCCATCTCATTCCTTATCTTCTCTGTGCACATAAGCAGTTTTGTGAAGGGCAACTTATTGTCTGCTATTTAGGAATTGCTGTGTTTTGGGAATTTCTATCTCCGTGATTAGTTCTACAATTTTCCTATTGTTAAGCACCATTTGTGTTTGATTTTTTCATTACTATGATTAAGATCCCAAAGAACATCCTTCTATTTATCAGGGTGTTTTTGTACATATCCTGAAGCATGACTGTGAGTAAAAACCTGGCAGTAGGAGTGAATCAAAGGAGAAACAGTCTTTAAAAGCCAAACTTCTGTCAAAAGAGGCTGCACCAGTCTGGTTACCCCAAAAGACTGTGCCGACTTTAAGTCCATTCACATTTTTATTGGAATTCTATTGAACCTATGAATGAATTTTGTTCACAAATTCTAGGCATGGCTAGATCTTTTCCATGAGATGAAAGAAAATCTAAAAATTAAAAAAAAAAATTTTAACATATAACTTTTGCCAATGTCCATTTCTATATAGATATATTCATTAAGTGGCTTACATTATGTATAGTAAAGGTGTGACTTGTCTTACTATTGAGTTCAAAATAATTATTTCAGTCTCGCTTGATGGACCCCACTTACCCAAGTTCACTTCCACAGTCTCGTTCTTGGGGCTCACAATCACAGGTCTGTCGGGCTTGTTTTCCTCTGAAAGAAAAACACCCATGGGGTTCTCAGTCTCCTACTGATCTGAATCACAGGGAATGACGCTTAGCAAAATACAGGCAATGGCTCTGGCCACATGGTCGCTCCAGTGCTTAGAGAATTTATAGTAGGAGACCAGAGGTCAGAAGAGAAGGAAGGAAACTGGCAGAGCTGACAGCCAACAGTGGACACAAGATGCAAAGCTAGACCCTCTGAGCCTGCAGGGCATGATGCTACAACACATATTCACATGTGCATGAATACATGCACACATGGGTGTGCACACATCTTCAGGACCCTGTGTGAAGTCAGGCAGATGATTAGCCGTAGTAAAACCAGTCAGTGCCAGACCTGTCTGGATTTAGTGACCCAACTAAAATAGATACAGTCATTGACATCATTTATTAAAACAGGCTGTGGTGGATTGACTAATGGTCAACTTGTAACCCCCAGCTGAACTGAATCAGCATGGTCTAGGAATGGAGGATACACCTGAAGATTGTTACCAATAGCCATAAAAAGAGAACTGGAGGGGAAGATCTTGATCTGTGGATTTTCTAGAAGCTTCCTGTGGATGGTTTTCCTGATGCAAACTAGGCCATTCTTGTCAGAGGAGGAGCTCGGGGCCTCGCTATCTCTGAGAATGGCTGCTGTTTTCATCAGGGGAGCTCTGATCTTCACCATGAGCAACACTTCCTGGCTCCAGTGTGGATCCCTCAGCTTGGTGGCACAAATCATCTCACCAGTATAGATTTTCTGGCTTCCACCACTGGCCTTTGGGCCTTCCAGGTGCAGATCCTCAATATGGTTAAGCATGAGATGATGTGGGCACTAAGCCACTGGCTGGACTTGAGGAGGACATTGCCTTGGACTCTAAGCCTTTAGCTGGTCTTGCACGGGAAACAGCTGGGATCTAGGCCCTCAGCTGAATCCTTTGAGCTTCTAGTGTGTGGTTAATCTCTTGCACTCCTTTGCATTTGACTTTTTGGGTAATTATCATAAAATAATCTTTAAATTATGCGTCCAGTATTTAATGTATTCCCTTGCTAGATCCTGCTAACTACAATACAGGCAAAGATTATCAAGAGCCCTAGGAATTAATCTGAGCCTTCTTATGGGAAGATCACCCTTGATCTGTGGCCAAGCAGAAACTAGGAGAAATGATGAAGTTGAATGCCTAGTCAAATAAGTATGCAAACGCCGCAAGGACAGGCTATTACGGGTTTTTTTTCTTCCCTAATCTATACCTAGAACAGTTCCTGGCACACAGTAGATGCTCAATAAATATTTTTTTTAAATCTAGGAACAAACAAAAGCTCTCAGGATCATTGAGGTGGGCTTGGGGAAAAAAAATAGTTCCTTACCTTTAAGTATATTTGTTTCTGAAAATGAAAATCAAAAAAGGAGATACAGTAGTCAAACTATAATTGATCTGCTTAAAAATCTGCTAGTGCCCAGTTCTCCCTAGAATTCTACCTCCTAGTCTGGTAGTTGTGTCTCAAGAGAGATAAATCAGAGTCACACAGTCACCAGGGCAGCTGGTGCAAACCCTAGAGTAGTTGTGATCCAAAGGTCGCAGGAAGTTAGGATCGGTGATGCTTGCAAGAGCAAGGCAGGGCATTAATGTTTATTCAATAAAATTAATCAGTGAAAAATAAATTGTCATAGCACTGGGAAAATGTAGTTATATGGTGATCATATGAATTTTCTGGGGGTAGTCCCAATTTAAACACATTCACCTGGCATAATTACTAGCAGACACCTCTTTTACTTGCAAGAAAACTCCTAGTTAGATGAACTCTTATGTTATTTAAAGCTGACGTGTGTAGAAAGGTTGCATATTCTGCCTATCCCAGGCACTCTGTAGAAGTGCATTTTGCTTCATTCTGTTGTAAATAGTTTTTAATATGAAATTAATCCCAAACTGAAAGACTTGGGAGAATTAAGAACCATTATTGTGCCGATCCTCTCCAAGCCTCGGCCAGCCAGGTGAGACAAGCAGCTTGAAGCTCCACGGCCATCCAGGGCCCCACCCACACCACGGTAAGGTCCACTTAGCCTTACTGGCGCCTCCAAGGCCCAGTCCCCCCCACACACACTACAGAGGCACAGGAGGTTATAAAGACCCTTGTCCTGAGCGCCACAAGATAAAGCAGAAGTCAGTAACAGAAAGAGAGCTTCTGAAGCTCAGCAGAAAAGTAAAGAGAATCTCTACAATAAAGGCACATCAGACCATTGTACTTGGTCTGCTGCTGGCTTGCTGAGACTCATTAATTCGTATATGCACACAGATTCCAACAATGCCTACTGTGACAGCAGAGACATACCCTGAAGGAGGCCCATAATTTTTATTGCTATTTGCAAAAAAGAAAAAAAATTTTTTTCTCTTATTTTTAATTCTTAATTTTTACTTTTTTTAACTCTTCAAATTTTTACTTTTCTTTCTTTTCTTTCT